GCTAGCAGGCCCTGGAGCTGTGACACCACCAGGAGCAGGCACCACCAGCACTGCAATGCTCACAGCTGCTGCTAATTGAAAAACAAAAAAGGTGTTCTTTATTGCAAGACTGGACAAACCATATGAATCAAGTCACCCAGCTCAGCGAGGAGCCAGGCCATTTCTTTACTATGAGAGTGCTGAGGTGCTGGAACAGGCTGCCCAGAGAGGTTGTGGACGCCCTGTCCCTGGAGGTGTTCAAAGCCAGGTTGGATGAGGCCCTGCGCAGCCTGGTCTAGTATTAAATGAGGAGGTTGGTGGCCCTGCATGTGGCAGGGGGGTTGGAGATTCATGATCCTTGAGATCCCTTCCAACCCTGGCCATTCTGTGATTCTGTGTAGGCATGGATGCAGCAGAGCTTAGGCAGGGACCAGCTGAGCATAAGCACAGTTCCTGAATGAAGCAGCAAGAGCCCAAAGAGGCATCTCACAGCTTTGTCTCCCACTGCTCTTTTCACAGCTGTCTGATCCCAGGTGCCACAGAGCTGCCATGTATTGGAGCTGCTGTTGAGCACAGGCACCCATAGATCTGGTGCAGAGCCTATTGGTGTGTCCAGGATCCTGTGCTCAGACCAAAAATTCAAGAACTGTGAGTAACAGCATTTGCTCCACTGAAATTTACAGGAGGAAATATTAATCAAGATAGGCTCAGCTATTTAATGAAGCTCTTAGCTCCCATTGCTGGAAGGTGAAATTAGGTTCACAGAACCATAAATGCGTCAGGATTTGGAATGTAACATAAGCCTCTCCTGAAACATTCATCATTTCTACTCATCTCCAAGTCAATGACATTCAGTTTTGGCTGAGTAGAGTGGGTAGAAGAGAGCAGAGCATTTCCTCCAGTCTGGAAGAAGTCTTCTACCATGGCTTGTAAGCTCCTTTTTTCATCTCTAAGTCATCTGAGCAGCATCATTGGGTTAGAACCCTCCTACTCAACAGACTCCTTCCTGTGCCTTTTCTCTTATCATCACCCCATGCAGATCTCTGTAACATTTCACTAGTTGCCATCTGCATCCTGACACTGAAATTTTACCACCGGAGACCCAGAACTGGAGCATCAGGCATGCAGGAGATATTTGACCTAACTGGTAAGACTATAAGGGTTGGAAAGATCCAGGACTGGAGTTATCTTCATCCCAGATTTTGCTCTTGTCACAACATTTTTTTTTCATTTGATATTTTGGATTTCATAGCAAAACAGCGAGGTAGCATTCAGGCAACAAAGTCCTACCTTTACCTTTGTTCTTAGACTTCAGTCTTTCAAGACTGGGATATACATAAGCTCCCAAATTATTTCTGACGAAGTGGATGATGGTCACTGGGACTTATTCAGATGTGAACAGAAGAGTCTCTGGCACAGCATTTGCCCCTTTTCTGATTTCAGCAAAGAGTTCCCAGAGGATCCAGCTTCTTCCCAGCAATATCCTTGAACTACAATGTGACTTTTATTATACAAACTTATCACCATCCTGACTTTATAAGGAAAGCTCTTTGCAAAGTCCTGGCCAAAATCTGCCCTGAATTTACTTGGTAGGATGCCTGTTATCTCAGTAGCAGAGCAGCAAATGAGTCAGCAGAGAATGTGCCACGGGGCACGTTACTTAATCATTCACATCTGCTGCATTTGGGGACACATCCGAAATAGGCACTGGTGTTCCCAGCCATGCCCCCAGGAGGCATTTACCCTCCACAAGTGTGACTCAGCAACATTTCTTTGTTATCTCATAGTTGCAGGAGATTTCAAGATTGAAATTTTGTCAGCAGCATTTCATCCAAAGTGGTGAAAAGCTTCTAAAAAGCACTACTGGGACATATTGCTGCTAGCTTTATGGCACTGGGTCTTATTATCACAAACAAATTCTGATACCTGTATAATCTTCTGGAGAATTACATATAAAGCCAAGGGAGTGCTCACTGCAATCACCTACCTGTGTCCTTAAAGGAAAGGCATTCCCCACGTACTCTCAATCTGAGCTGGGCTCTTTGTGCCCCAAGAGATGGCAGTCCTTCCTCGTTGCTCCTCACTACCAGAGAGACTGTATGGTCTTATTGTGGTGATCACAAGTTTGTCAACAGTTTACTGGGGTAGAACAGCTTGGTGCAAATTGATGTCAGATGTCTGCACAGTTTAAGGTTAGGATAACAACAAAAGGCTTGAAAACATTGATGCCAGTTTAGGACAGAGGCCCCAAGACAGGTAACAATGCACCAATGGGCCACTAGCCATCACTGAAAAAGTGCAGCCTGGAGAGCTGGGAAAAGTCTGCTTTTGCTTTTAGGAAAGGCAGTAGCAACTGAGCAAGAAAAGAAATTGTGAGCAACAGGGTACGGTCCCTTATGTAGCCTGGAGAATGAATGTCCCCATTTCCCTCTCAGCATCTAGACCCAGGTGGAGACTGGGGGCTGGAAAACGTCTCAAAATTTCTACTGTGTATATTCTGCATTTTTAGTTAACTAAATAAGACATATTTGCCTCAAAGTAATTGAGGGTCCATGCAGGGTTGAAGGTCTCCAGGCCTAGTTCTTAGGAGTAATTTAAGGCCCTAATTTCAGATGCCAGTTTTGAAGCTGAAAGTCTGAAGCTTCCTTGTTTAGGCTTTCAAAGGAAACTGGAGGAAGGAAAGTGTGAGGGTTGGTGGCTTTTTTTGTTGTTTTTTTTTTTCCCACCTATTTCTATTCTGAAATTTGAAACAGCTGCCACAAAACCATTATAACCATACATAGTGTTCAATAAATGTCTAAACCTGGAAGGAGCTATGCATGAATTATGTCTGATTTATACATTAAATAAAAATAGAAAGAACCAGTTGAATTTTAAATGCTCGTCTTACACTCAGTAAGTCTTGAAATTACGATGTCTACAGAATATTGCCTGAAAAAAGGTCCAGTGTTTGCATACACTATATCAACTTTTTGAAAGCATTCCAAGGTTTTATCAGATAAGGCAAATGGGTGGGTGTAATTAAACCTTCATAAATTGGCTTTTCATAGGGAGAACTCTTGGAAAATCATTCTGTTTTTAAATTCCTCTCATTGCATGCAGACCAAGATTAACCTTAAAGAAAGTTCTGAGCTGCAAGTAATTGCTGCAGGTCATTGCACTTGTGGAGGCAGCCACACTCTGTGAGGACACAGAGCATAACTGAGCCCACAGGCACCAGGTCTCTGCCTGTCCTAACCTTGGCTGCTGAAGATGCCATGATAGTGCAGAGAAGGTCAATATGTGCAGCCCCTTTCTCCAACTGAAAATGAAATATGTTTGATTGCGGTGCCACTGGGCAGGTGGGAGCAGAGGCCTTGCTTGCATGGCTCTTCGTGCCAGCCTGGCCTTTCACCATGGGGACAACATTAGGGACTACTTGTAATCATCCCCCAGTGGAGCCAAAGTACAACTTTCATATAGGGTGCAAATAAGTCAACAAAGTCATACCAGAGCTTTGACTTCTACCACTAATTAGAATATTATGTGAAGCTTGTGTTCAAAAAGCTGTGTCATTATATATTGCTATAGCCACAAAACACTCTGGTGAATATTTCTGCTGCTTCTTTGGAGGACCAACTTCAAACTGCAGCTGCTCTCCCATCACTCCCACTGGTTTCACTTGGAAGTGATAACGCTTGGCCTGTGTGATCTCAGGGAACGAAGACATTTCATACTTTGTCTTCCAGTTTATTACTCAACCCAGATAAACAAAGCGTAATAAATTCATTAAAATGTAATTCTGAGAACTCCCTGGTTTTCTTAGCTAAATCGCACTTTTGCAATGAACATGATCATTATAAACATTCTAGGCCTTGCTTTAGACCATTTGTGTACACAAAAATAAAGTAACCTCATCTCCATCTTATGGCACAGCTCTGTCAGAAGAAAAAAAATCCCAACAAAACAACAAAAGCAGAACAGAGCCCTGTCGCTTCACTCCTGCCCAGAGGCACTGAAGGCATGGTTTGGGTGCATGCCCCTGGGCTCGGGGAGGCAGCAGGGAAGGTGCAGGCCCAGCTCCCACTTTGCTACTCCTTCCAGAGCTGGTCTGTCTGAATATACCTGCTCAGGACCAGGCAGCTTGTGACACATTAGTCTATGCTCTCATCCTTGTAACATCCTCCAAAAAACTCCCCAGAAGCAGCTCTGACATCCTTGAGGGTCCGTGCTCACGTAGGACTGATCTTTATGCTGCAGATGTGCTCAGAAGCCCAAGTTGCTGGTAAAAGAAGCAGCAATGTCCACACACAGACCATAAGCCTTGGTTGTAAAGTTTATGTTTCAAGGTTAGAGAAGGTAACTGCCTCCTGTCTGCGAAGGAGCAATGAACCATCCAAGCTGCCTCGGCCTTTCAGCCTGCTTTCAGGGAACTGTGACTGAATTTCTTAGGGAACCCAACACACCAGCACATGGTGGTATTGCCTACCCACTCCTTCACTGGGTGACACGTCAACACAGAAGTCAGTCAGCATATCCATCTTAACTCCAAGCTTCATTATCAACACAGACCACACATGAAACATTCCTTCCACACAAGGAGCACCTGCCCTCTTTTTGTAAGATAAGAATCTTGGTCTCCAACAGCTGGGGATTCAGAGCACCCACAGATTCCCCCTGCAGGAGGAAAGAGGCTGCTGAAGGACAACCCATGTATGAGCTGGTCCCAGCGCAATTTTGTGGAGCTGGGGTGAAGCTGCCACACAAAAGGACAGCAATTTGAAGGTAAGTTGAAGGCTCCCTGTTCTGCAGGGATTCTGCGTATTTTATATTTTAACCTTGTGAAAACTCACATTTCATACAAGGTTGTCTGAACAGCTCTGTTTCTTTGGTGTTGTCCTTCTCCATCCCTCCCCACCCAGTTAAACAAAAGACACACCACAGCCCCTCAGCACATTTTAGTAAAGCACACTCTGGGCCTTTCCTCGATGCTCTGCTGTCCGTGGTGGTTTTACTGCTGACAAAAAAAGAGGACCAGAGCCTTTAATGCCCTACTTTCAGGTGTTCGTACATTTATACAAGACTATACAAACAAGCTCTGAACAGCAATTACACAGTATTAGATGTACACAGTATTGGTACATGTTGTTAAAACAATGCTGCTAAATGAAGAAGCTTTATTAGTTTAGAGATTTTTGGCTGCTGTTATTAAAAATATATTTACCTGAAAGGAAATCCAAGTATTTCATATTACAAACAAACGACTGAAAATATAGCAGTAAGCAACGTAAACTATTGCTTTTTATGTTTGTACAATTTTTTGGCATAACACTGCCATACAGTTACAGAATTATAAAATATATCTTTAGAGTGCGTTACAAACCCAGAAACTGGTTACCACTCCTACCACATACATATGGTATTGGTGCTACCAAACATGCATGGCATTCTGTCATTAAACACTGCAAAGGAACACAGAAGAGAGCAGAATAGTTCATAAAAACGGACATGTAGCTGTTTCAGTTCTCAAGTAAAAATCGTTGGGTCTCCTTTCTCTCTTTTTTTTTTTTTTTTTTTTTTTTTTTAAACCACACCTTTTATTAGAGTAAGTTTTAACAGTGAAGTGTACAATAGGTCCAATTGGTATCAATGCAAAACCATATCTCATTATCTGTCACTCAACTCAAACTGCTTAAAGGGCAGACAAAGGAACAGGTTAAGACAGAAAAGGAGCAACTAATAACCAGCAAGCATGCTTCAGCAGGTCCCAAAAATATAAATGCCATAACCCATTTTACTGCAAACAATAAATGTCACGCTGCTAGCCACAGTAGTAAATACGTTCAGTATACTTCACAATAAACCTTAGCTGATGAATATACCACTAGACTTGTAAGCAAGGTAGAATTAAGAAGTGCCAAGTTCCTAAGAAGAAAGAGTCTTCTTTCAGAACAATTTGCCAATTCTCACGTTTGTCATTTTATAGCAAACAGCTTTATGCTTTCAAAGATAAATACAAAAGCCATTAGAAGTGCAAAGCCACAGGAGGTCTCCCTTCACTTGATCTCCATAGCTCTTGAACTATCTTTTAAGAGCCCACTACATATGGCATATATTAAATATATTCTTTAAAATAAACTCTCAATTTCTGCTACAGTCTTAAGAGTAAGTATACTAAAAATGTGGGATATATGAGGAATTGACTTCAGGAAAATAAATGGCTCACAGATGTTACAATTTACATTCCCCTTGGAGGACTGCATTTAAATACTTGTGAGCAGTGAACTCTACTATTATGGTCCGAATCACAACATGAAAGGCGAGGAGAGAGTCCATCTGTAGGCCTTTTTGACTCTTCCATTTTCAAACTCCCTTTGACAATGAGAATACTATTTGAGCAATTACTATATTTAATCACAATTGGAAATGGAGACATGCATCAAAATTAGTTACTGAAATATGGAATGATGAGTATGGTTCCCAGCACATCCCAGACAGGATTTTTGTCTACTACATAATTATACTACACTGCTTATGCTCACCCAAATACATGCTTTTATTACTTGAGTTCAGATCCAGCACCACCTTGCTCAGACTAGGAAAAGGTTTCTCCACTGACTGATCTTGCTTTCACACCAGTAGGAATGCAATTCACTTCTGGATTTGGAATCTGACTTCCAGTACTTTATACAGGAGGATTTATATGTAAACATTTATTCTGAAGGGACGAGTCAGATAATATCATCAGCAGCATTGGATAAGTGACATTTTCTGCCTAAACAGGTATCTTATTAGAATTTCCAAAGGCTTTTAGAAACAGCAGGAAATGTACTTCTGTTCATCTTACAGTATTTTCAGTAATTGTGTTCAAACATACTAGCAATTCCTGAATAAACAGATTTGAGACGAATAATAGATTACTTTTGCCAAACAAAACAAAATTAAAATATGGAGCTCACTGCCAAAAGGGATTGTCAAGGCTGAAAGAATTACGGGAGGAAAAAACATAAATGTATGGAGGAAAAAAAAAAAACAAACCCTTTATCTTTTCTTTCACACCACAAACTGTTGGTGGCCATCGCTGCTCCCAGGATACAAGGCTGAATATATCTTTGGTTATAACCGAACGTACACCATTAATGTGATTTGGTCAATTTTGTTAGTGGATAAATTTCATTCACATTTTTGCATCCTACCCATAAATCATAGAATCACCAAGGTTGGAAAAGACCTTCAAGATCATGCAGTCCAACCATCCACCAGTCACCAATAGTACTCACTAAACCACATCCCTCAACACAAAATCCAAACATTCCTTGAACATTTCCAGCGTCGGTGACTCCACCACCTCCCTGGGCAGCCCATTCCAGTGCCTGACCACTCTTTCAGAAAAGCAGTATTTCCTAATATCCAGCCCGAATCTCCCCTGGCGCAGGGAACTACTACTTTTGTCACAAATACGTGATGTGTATTTTACTATAATTTGTGATCAGTTTTGCATTAACATACTTATGATCACTTGCTTTTTAATAAGAACGAGCAATGCTGCATCTTCCAAAAGGAAAATGCTTTCCAGTTCTATGAGATTATTTTTTCCTAAATACTGCAGTATCATCTCAGGCAAATATCATATCTTAAAAGACTTGCCTCTTAGCCATGATCAGTCATAAACGTGGTTAGAAGCCATCTACAGTGATTCAGTTTGCATCACAAATACTATCACAAAACGCTGTTACCAAGCAGCCTCTTTACAACAGGTGAACCAGTATCTTCTTATTCCCTCCTTGCTCCTGAGGCACTAGAGAAATCATTACTGTCACAACCTTCAGGCAAAGAAAGGGGCATAAAATAATTCAATTAAACAGATATAGACAAATTTTATTAAATAAAAAAAAAAGCAAAGGAAAAAAACCAAACTGTTTTCCATTTAAAACTCTCTTGACTTACCTTATAGGTAATTTTGACACCCACCAAAGTTATAAAAAGCTTAAAAAGTCCGTAAACTTTTTGAGTTTAGTAGATATATGCAGATACATGTAACTGCAGATTGTTACTATTTTCCTGGAACAATTCACAGGGGTTTATATTGGGTTACATTAAATATTAACTATGGTTATACAAATGCTTAATATGTTAGACTGCTATGAACTTAGAGCAGGAAACTGAGGAGCCGACCAATCCACAGAACAGCTCTCAGAGGCTTATTGCAAATATATTTAGTATCCTTCAGGATCATACCTTTAAATACAAGCAGTAGACACCAATAACTCAAGTCCTGTCCCTAGACATGTGCAAGTGTGTAAGTGCTCTTCTTATCTGAACGGCTGGTGGTGCATGCCTTGTGAATCCAAGCTTTCAGTCTGTATGCTCCACCACCCTCAGGTACTGAGATACAGTCACATCCCAGCAAGTAGGGCACAGAGATGGAACTAATCTTGAAGTGTTGTATTTTTGCATGCCTTGTACAATTGCCTTCACTCACACGTACACACTCCTTAGCATTTTGTCAAGTCACACATTCAAGTATCCTCACCAAAGGATATACAGAATCAAACTCACAGACCCGTGAATACGCACACTTCTCCCTCAGTTGCAAAGGCTGCTCAGATGTAAGAACCCCTATACGGGAGGTTCCCATTCAATTCATAGGTGAATAGTTCAGATCCTAATAAAACACTGGGCCAACACATTGTGATAGAAGTACAAAGAAATCCCTGAATATTTAAGTGCACAGCAAGATTAAAAAAAAATACCAGTTTAATAGTGAGCAAGCGTCCTGACTTTGTTTGCACACACTCAGTGGCTGTAGTTAAATAATGAAGTATTGGCATTTATGTGAATTCTTGAAAACCTGAAAGCCAATACTTACAAACAAGCACAGGGTGCTCCTAGCTGCCAAGGACACAAGTCTGTAATAAAATGCATCGCACCCATTTGGTCCTCAAAAATCTCAGTGGGATGCTACACATTGCTCTGCAATGAATCCCTCATTCAAGCACTTGCAAAATCAGAACAACTCCTCTATGAAAATAATGATACACCATCACATTTTACGCAGAGCAAATTTGTCACTTAAAGCTGAAGAGTCTCATGGGAGACACTTCAGTCTGCTGACACGGATATAAGACACAGTTTACAAAATGAAGGAGGCCAGCTGACACAGAAAACTTCTCTCATGCCAAAGTTCTTCACAGCTAGTTGACATGTCACTGCTGTTATCACTTCTCTCTTTAATAACAATGATAGAAATATACTGAGATGGGGTTTTAAAAAAAAAGTTAATATGTGTACAAGTTGCAAATTTCTCAATTCTATTTTCAGATACCCTGAATGCATACAACTGCCAATAAAAAAGTCAACTTTTACATTAAGTACTTAATTAAGAGTGGACAACCAGCAGGCACATGCAGGGTAGCTGCAAGACATGTGACAATAACAGAATAATACATTGCAGTGAAGTTTTTTGGGTGTGCATCCCACAGAAAGCTACAACCAACCTCCTGGTTAAAGAGCTATTTTTCTCTTTCTATTGTGTTCAGAAGTCAAATGAAGAAAAATCTCCTGAGGTCAATCAAATTACAATATAAATATAATAAAACCCCTACTGACTCTTATCCCACTTGAACACTATGCAATTTTTTAAAAAAAATGTTTCATCTCAATACTGAAGTCTAGAAACTGAAGGTTCTGTATAACTAGCTTATACTTCTTCATACACAGTGTAAATTTTTCCTATGCCATTCAAGTAATAACTGTGTTAAAACAACGCTATTAAGTTGGCATGGTTAGGCACTCAAGATTTAAAAAGTCATAGGCAGAACACAGAACTGTCCTCTCTGAGTGTATGTGTAGGGTTGGAGTCTTTAACTACATGGACTAATTTTATCTAAGCATTTCCTGCCCTCTTCTGCTCAGAAGGCCAGGGACAAACATGAAAAGGAGGACCCTGGTTCAAGACCAGGACAATTTGAAGGTCATTCTCAGCACCAACTAAGTTGTCATCTTTCACGCAGCACTGACTATGATGGAATTCTCTTGCACATTTCCAATCAGACAGACTCGATGCCTGTTGAGCTACCCGGGCTACCCTTAAGAAACAAACAAACAAATAACCAACCAAAACTGAAAACAAAGATTTACATAAAATCCTTTCCTTACAAAAAAGCACAGAAAAAGTAGAAACATAACTTTCCTCTGTTTCTTTTGGATGGAAAGAGCTTAATCTTTCTCCATAGGTGACAAGATCTCTAATTACAACTCTGTTTGACCCCAAGAAAAAAAGCTACCTGGGGAAAGAAAGAGATGATGCACTGCCATAAAGGAAATTAGTGATAGAGAAAAATACAGGACATTCCATCTACGTTTTTAAACCCCTGAAGACAGTCATTTTAAGTTACAAGACTTGAATGAAGTCTTGCAGCACTCTGTTACTCAAACCATAGTCAGGTACCTGCTTTATAATATTTCATCAAAAATACATCAAAGGCAGTGGATAATATATACATTTTAAAATAGAAAATACATATAGTAGACTATTTTAGTACTGTAGAAAGCATGAGTTCTACCTACACTACATTTTAATCCATATGGTATACAATTAACTTGCTGGGTAGCATCTTGCTTGACTGAATGGCATGAAGTTAGAAAAAGATGCTCAGGAAAATCATGCGGTCCTTAAGTAAACAAAACCAAAATTCCTATCTTCTCTAATCAGCCTGGCAGACAGGCTTTTTTCAGTTCTCAGCCTATTAAATAACATGAAAAAGTGAAAAACCTCTGACAGAGAGAAAAGATTTGAAATTCCTTTCACTCATAGACCAGCAGGACTGGCTTTCTTCCACAGGCCAGCATCAGGAGATTCTGCATTGTACAGACCACCCAATTTAGTTCAGATTCAGCTGGACAGGCCAGGTGACAGATCCTCCAATGGCTCTGATGGCTAAGTAGTGTTTTCCTGTGGGAAAAACAAAACAAAACAAAAAAACAGAACTGCTTTTGAGCTGCTGGTGGTTGATCCCTAGGGAGTGGGGCTTCCCAGCTGCTAAAGCCAGCTGATGAGAGACAGAGAGCTAAAGAACTTTCATACTGAGACCAAACCTAAGATTGACTCCACCTCACAACTCAAATCAGCAGAAGTGGCAAATGAGGCATGAGGAAACCTTAAAAGAGACTAAAAGATAAAGTGCAACTTCCCTTGTACCCAAAAGCTGTGTATACAGTTTCACTGTAACTTAAACATTTATTTGATGTATTGGCTATCCAGCTGCATAGGATGTTTCAAGATCTATTGTCTCAGACAAGGGTGCTAATCTAAGGTAAAAGATGCTGCGCAAATGCTGCCATTAGAAATAAACACAGTTCCTAAGGAAAATCCACTTGTGAAAAATTTTGTTTTTGAAATAATTTCTAGTCATTTCACAAAAAGAAATCAACACTGAAAGCATATTAAAAGAAACTTCGATTCGGATGCTCTAAGACTTACTAGAAAATTACATTTTAAATAAATAAATAAATAAATAAACACCAGATTAATTTAATGGGAAAAACTGCTATTTTTTTTTCCTGCTATGCAATATGTCTGGAAAGCATAATGAATTCCCAGGCTTTGAATTTACACAATAATTTTAAATAGCTACACTTGATTCTCATCTGACAAACAGAGATTAAAAAAAGCAAAATTCATTTGCGTAACAGAAGCCTAATCTGATGCATTCCCAACAAGCATGAACATTTTATACTAGATTAGATGAAATTTCACCAAGAATGAAGAAGTGATGAATAATTTGCTTCATTCGTTATGAAACAAAGACTTTTAACCTCAGACTCATAATTTGATCTCATCCTTGGTTTTTGTGGTGGTTCCCCCTGAAGGTGTGTCCTCATCAAGGTTATCTTGTAGATCTGACGACACATTATTTGAACAATTCTCAGGGTCACATAAAGATTTGTCTGGATGATTTCCGCAGTCATTGTTCATATTTTCATCATCCTTTTTGGAATAAGAAGTGTCCTCTTTTTTGTCCGAAGGATCGTGAATTGCTTCTGATTTTGAAAGCTGACCACTATCAGCACCGCTGTTCTTTTCACTGCTCTGCTTAACAGCATCACAGTTCATTTCTTGTTCATCCTGATCATTTTCTTCTCCATTTTTTCTGAGTTCTACTTTTCTCTCTTCAGTTGCTTTACTAGCTGAGGTTCCGCTTGTGGATGTACTCTTCGGCTCTTTCAGTTTCTTATGCTTAGAAATATAACTACTGTGCACAGAAATTGGAGATGCTGGCTTTTTATTTGTTTTGCCTCCCTCTGACTTCTGTTTTCTTGGGGGTCCCCAGATAAAATGCTCTGATGGCGTATAATGCTGCTGCGCAAATCTCAGGAGCTTTCTCCTTTCTCTTCTGTCTCTAATAGTATACACAAAATACTCTAGAGCACTTTGCTTAATATTGGGAATGGTATCTTCCACAAGAGCTTCATGGAGAATAAATTTTACCAGGGGAGATTTGAAACTCTCATATCCAAGTTCACCAAGACTTTTCAGAATTCGAGTGATTCTCAAGTAGTTGTGTTGAGACCTTTGGAAGGAAAGGTTAAAAAAAAATCCATTGAATCAGAAAAGAAAAGCCTTACAGAAACAGAACTGGAAATACATTTTCTCATTCATTTTTAATCACTCAAGATATATACTTCAAACTTTCTGAAGTTTTATTTCTCACAGTTGATGAAGCCTGCCAGGTTTCATCCATTCATCATCTTTGCAAGGATGTTGGGACTGAAAATTAATGTCTGCAAAAGGTACTGAGGCAGTAGATGAAATAAATTTATCTTCTGAAATTTGTTCTGAAGTGTGAAGCTCCTCATAAACACATATAAGTAAACAGTAGAACTTAAACACCTAAAATTTACACAGCAGAAGTTAGGTTAGAAGAATCACAACTCTTGATTTAAAGTAGTATAGCTGCTCACGAGTATTATGAGTAGCTACATGGTAGTGTGTACACAAGTAGACACTCATATAATTACTTTGTATTATAACAACATAGTAATTACAATCTATGAATGCACAGTGAGTGACACTTGGGTCTCCTGAAACCTCTTTTATCTGTGGCCTGACTCTGAGCAGGTCCCTGTTAGTTGGCTCATAAAATTTGAGTGAAATTAGTAACAAATTATCCCCATTATTCAGATTTAGCCACCAGCAATCCTACCTTAAGAAACAAGTTTTCATTTAAACAGGAGAACAAAATACTGCAAGAAAGCTGCTGGTACCTCTGGCCTTAGAGCTAAAAATAAAGCAATCTCAAGATGTGAAAAGAAATTTTAAATACATTGCACTGGACAAAATTCAGTGCAAACTTACTCTCCCTGTAATCATGAAGTAAGGTGACAAATGGTCTGCTGCTGAAAGCTGAAGGTAAGGTTTGACTCAATACAAGTCTAAGCAATGTAGTTAATAAATACCAAATTCAAAATAGAATATGTTTTGAGGAGGGAGGAATATCTTTATCAGTCAGCTTCCATACAGGTGTTGAGAATTTGATTTTCCTCAAGAAAAAAATGTCAGTACAAAGACAAGCACCCCTTCCCTGTAACTGAGAAGCTGAGCCTTATGATCAAGCGAGAGCATTCTGTAGCAAGACAGACAAATTACTTTGGTACTGTGATCCTCAACAACATCTCAAGCTGTGTACAGAACACAAGGATGTCAGCTCCTTAACAGGCAAGAAGCACAACCAAAAGAGATGTCTTCGGGACCTTCCAGGTCTCTGGGAAGACCTGAGAGTTGCCTTTCAAAACCTAAAGGGGGCTATAAGAAAGAAGGACAGACTCTTCAGTAACAGCACAAGGAGAAATGGTGTCAAGCTAAAAGAGGGGAGATTTAGACTGGATAGGAGGAAAAAGTTGTTTGATTTTTTTTTTTTTTTTTTTGTAATAATAAGCAGAGTGAGGCACTGGAACAGGTTGCCCAGAAAAGCTATGGATGCCCCATCCCTGGAGAGATTCAAGGTCAAGCTGAAAGAGTCTCTAGGCAACCTGACCTAGCTGTGGATGTCCTGGTTCACTGCAGGGGAGTTGGACTGGATGACCTTTAAGGTTCTCTTCCAACTCAAATGATTTCATGATATAATTTTATGATTCAGAGAAAGGGGAAGGAAGAATGTACAACAGATACAAACTAGACATTGAGTATTTCTTTTTATCTTTTTTACTGGCAACTTTCAGAAAAATGTATCTTTGCTTTCTGTAGGAAACAACAGACTAAAGAGATTCTATAGCAATTCTGGAGTCGAGTGCATGTCATTACTTACTCATTCAAATGCTGAAATCTTTCTTGCCAGTTAGCAGCTCGTGCTACGTTTCCAGTTTTATCAATTAATTTTATTCCAAAAAATTCCAGCATCATTTTGTAAGCCAAAAGGAATCTTCTAATTGCTTCCTTTGTTTTCTTGAACTCCTAATAAAGAAAACATCCAAAATTCAAAGTGACATTAAAGCAAGTGCTTCTGCATTGTAAATAAACAACTCTGCATAACAAGAAGTAGTTATGTATCGATATCAGTGTGATGGTTTAAGCTCAACTTGCATTACCTCAATTTCATATGTAGTTAATTCTTTCGCATAGAAGTTCAGACCTTGCTCCCTCAGAGGGAAAAGCCTGTTAAAAGAAACAATGAATTACAGCTAACAGTACATAAACACTTAACCCAGATAGTCCTTGGAAATAGCAATAGGTAGTAAGTGACCGACCACTGTATGTATGTGTGGTTATGTTCCAGTTTTTCATAATCTCCTTTCCATTTGTTTAGGACTTCTTCAATATAAACTCCTGCACAAAAATAATTAGAAAAAATTGTTAGGCAGCCACCAAAACCAGCTTTCAGCTACATAAAGAAAGTATATCATTTATGCCATTTACATGGCAAGTACCTCATACTGACAGAATACATGCTTTAGTTTTCTTTCACATACTGTGTAAAATAAGGCCTATTAAAAAAAATAATTTATTTAGTTGCTGAAATTTAATTAAAAATAAGAGTTTCATCAAATTTTAATTAACAAAAAAATAAATCAATTGACTTAAAACACTTAAGGGTACATGACAATAACTTAAAGAAATACAATTTTCAAAATTTTCTCATTTTCTAGTTTTCTTTGTCACACTGACTGGTAATTGACAAACCACTTAAGTATATTATTGAAACATGAGTCAACTGCCATCGCTTAAACACAGGAAAGCTCTGCATATTTATCATCTTTCTGGAATAGGCCTCAACACTTCCATAAATCTTTCATTCTAGGAATCTCTCCTGCTGCAAGTAATGTTAAGATTTGAAAATCTTTGGCAATTTCCTGTGGCCAAAAGTATTGATGCCATTGCTGTAAGTCGGAACGTGGAAGCTCAGGTCAAGCTCATCAAATGGAAAGTTCAGCTTTTAGTAGTCTGAAAACAGTTGTGGCATTTAATCAGCTCTTCTTGCAATGCCAGAGTGACAGAAAAAGGAAACAAAGTATACCTAAAAAAAATTAATCATTTTTCACATCAAGATCACGGACATGAAATTCAGTTACAGACCAGGGTATCTTTTCACTGTACACATGCACATAAGGACATTACTTGTTTCAAAATCTATCTCTCTTCCCATGAACAGACAGTATTAGCATATTCTTAGTCTGAAAACAGCAGTTCAACCACGGCAGCATGGACTCTCCCAAATTCAAATAGCACAGGAGTGACCTAAAAAGCTCAAAGCCCCATTTGAATGGTCTCCTATTACACATGGGATACCTCTGCCTAGTGAAATTTTCCGTGTCAGTCCCAATAACAAGTGAAAACTCCCTTTGTACTTAAAAAAGTAGCCAAAGAGATAAGAACACAAAGTTTACAGTGCAGGCAAGGCTGGAAGGCTGGGAAAGGACCTGACTAAGAGGCTCTCCTGCCCTCATCACACCCCACAGAACTTGTAAAGTAATTATGTTTCAAGTATCAGAAAGTTTCCCACTGAATTCCAAGGTCTAGAGACTGTAACTCAAGAGTCTGTTAACTGTGGAATTAAACTTCAGACCTAGGAGTGCTCTACAAACATCCTTTCTTTCCCTCAGTAACATTCCCTACTACTTTAGCCCAAAATGCAGTAGCTTCAACTCTCTCTAAATACTCTCATGGACCCAGGGCTAGGTTAAGGTGGTAACAATTCTTTCCCATCCTCAAAAATACCTTCACAGTCAGAGCTCTGTCATCATGACCTCAGCTTTCACGGCCTATCAGCTATCCCTTGACACCACCATTCATGATTTTCTCCTGAAAAAGAAAATTTTAAAACTTGCCAAAACTAACATTTGTCTTAGGAGGCAAGGCCTCCTATAGCTTGACCTGGATAATCCTCTAGAACACCTCCTTCCTTTTCCAGCCTTTAAAGGATCACCCAAAACCTTTTCTCTTTCGGGCTCACATGGTCCTCTGAACCTTTCCCTTTCTTTCTTGATCTACTCTCTGCAAGTGAACTTGCAGGTAACTCACAGATCTAAGTTTTCATCTAGCCAAGCTGAAAATGCAGTCTTCAGCATTAGCCTGTGTATATCTGGATCTAAAATTCAGGATTATTATCTTTTTTTAGCATAACCTGACTTATCTTCTCACTCACTGAGGTTATTATAACTCAATTTTTTGCCTATCAACAGCTTTAATTTTCAACCTTCCTGGCTATACTGACATCTTTACATCCTTCTTGATAACGTTCCAGCTTTCCATCAGAATTTAGGTATTTCATCTCAACAGTGTTTTTCTTGACCTTGAAAAGCACACTGTTGCCAACTGTACGTCTACTCTGAATGCTGCTGAAAATGCATTTCTAGACAACAGCAGCTTTTTTTTTTTTACCTTTATATTTCACTTTCAGTCTTTTCTGATCTGTCCAATCCTATGGTGTCACAACCTGTTTGCTGTAAAGAGATTGATTCCTATCTCTGACCAGCCCTCAACAGCAGCCTCCACTTCTCACTCCTTATGTATTCAAATATACGTTTTTGTATTTTGGCTCCTCTCACGCTGAGAAAAATCTCTCTGCATACACCTTCAAAGTGACCTTCTCATACTTTCAGAACTCTGCTGCTTGAAGCTTTCTTTTTTGTTGTTTTTTTTTGTCAATGGCTGGGCTCTCATGTGCCAAGACTCCTGCCTATCATTCTAACCAACACTGTTTTATTGCCTCCTTCTGTTTCCCCCATCTGTCTGCAGCCAAAGTATGAGAGACAAAAGCATGGCAAACTCTCTAGAGCAAGGGTTTGTCATTTTCCAGCTTGTTCTGTGTTTGCACAGTACCTTGCTTGTGAGAGCCCTGCTTCATTACCAGAACCACCAGGGACTCTATTATACTACTGATAACAAAACAATTTCTCACACATGAAGAAGTGACAACATATTCATTTTCCCCTCGCATGGTGCTAGGAATAACAGCCTAAGCCCTGTCACTCCTTTTCAAGCAGCAAGAGTTTGTTAAGCATGGTGGAACAGCGTTATCTTTGTTTAACAAAAGGCAGTGCCACTAGAGTAAATGTGTTGTGCTAACAACATCTCATTGCACTTTTCAGCACAAGAAAAGCATGACCTGTCTAGAGGAGAAGCAAACTTTGGCTTAAGTATTATCAGCCTGTTATCAACATGGTAGTCCAATACAGGAAGTTCAAATCATACAACAAATAGCCGCACACTTCAAATTTATCAGATAATAACAGTTTCGCTCTGTTATTGTTATGGGTGAACATTCTACTGCTATCATTATTACTGTCACACATTACTCACCGTCAGGTTTAAAAGGGATTTTATTTTTGTAAAAGCGGAGATTGCACAAGTCATTTTGGTATCGAAGATCTTTAAAGTTCTGCTGAAAGAAAGAAAACAGGACATTATCAGTCTACAAAACATAACCCGCTACTGAGAACATCCACAAAGTGACATTCTGCTCTTTGAATAATGTGAGGACAATAAAGGTTTAGCATTTCAGGTAAGCAGTTTAGAGATCTGCCAGTTCCTTCTGACCACCTCCTTCTCCTACTGAGAAGAAACAGCAAGCATAGCAGCACCCGGCCTTCTGGCTCAAGGAACCTCCAAGGGACCATTATCCGGACTCTGTGTACCCTCTTCAGTTTTCAATGCATACATCTCTTTCTGGGATTCTGTCACTATTCCCAGGCTTACACACCTCATGTGTTTGCACATACATCTAGGATGAAAAGATGCTGCCCTTGTTTCATCCCCCTCTCACCGGCACACACTGGGCCTTTCCAGCAGCTTTATGACTATTCTTATTTCTCATATTTATTAAGCATCATTACATTCAGAATTTCCCAGGTCATGTGCTGCTCTCTACTGAAAAGAGAATTTTAAACCGTAAAATATTCTTACTGGATACTGATGTCGGTACTTGTATAAATCCCTTGCTGCATAGAAGCTTCTCTTTGGCTTGGCTGTCAGCTCTGTTCCATCACCGCTCTGAAACATTTAAAAAGTAAATAATAATGGTACACAAACACACCAAGTACTGAACCTGAGTAATATTAAAGTAATTATTTTTCACAATATTTCAGCAATGTAAACATACACAAGTACACATATTTGCCTACTGTCTGGTCAAACACCAAACATCTTTCTGCTGAATACATACACATACTTACTCCGAAATTTAAAAGGTAAGACTTTGAAGCAACCAAGATGGTGCTAACAGAAGATTAAATAAGTAACTGAATGTGAAAATGCTAATTTTGATCAGGAAGCCACATTATTTGCAAATAATATTTGTCATGTGTATCTTGATTTAATTGCTTTCCCTGCATTCTGTGGAAGAAAACAGTCACAGACAAGCAATCTGTAGTACAAGTGCCTTCATGAACTGTTCTGTATTATTCATTCCTCAGAAGTTATAATCCTAGTGAGAAATACCACTAAATTCCCAAAGGAAAACCTGCAAAGAGAAAACGCATTTGTACAAGGCCTTGTCCTGAGCAGCAGCTGTTTGCTACAACCTGAGACAAACAGAGCACACCAAGGTCAATGGAAATCATTCCATTGACTGGTGAGAACACTCAAAAAACCAGCATGTATTGAAGAAAAAGAAGTACTGCTCTACAGAGCAATTCAACTTGCTGCCAACCACTATTTTCTACATTATTTCTTTACAACTATACCGTAAAAAAGTGATTTGGATTGTTTAATTTGCTAAACTAAGTTTCTACGCTAAGACTAAAGGCCAAATAAGAGTGAAAAAAATACAGTAATTCCACACCTTGCCACCGGCAAACACAGATTAAAGTCACAACTAAAAAGGGAAACTTCTGCGATCACGATTTATTATCGTACACTCATTGCTTATCAGTATTACATTACTGACAGGCATTTGTTTCCACGCAGCCCAACTCTGATTGCAGGCAAAACGCGCCTACCTGAGCAAGCGATAGCCCGACACAGGCATCAGCAAGCCACCAGCACCGCGTATCAAGTAGAAATGAAAACAATAAATGCTTATACTTGTTTAATTTTGCACAGCGGCAGTTCGTAAGCCAAAAATCCAGACCCAGTCGGTGCACCTTGCGTTCGGGGCAAACTCCGGCGACACTAACGGCCAAGCAGCGGCTGCGGAGGAACCTCCGCTCGGAGCCGGCGGGTGCCACGCCTCCCTGCCACGCCTGCCCCAACGTCCCGGCCCTTCAACCATTCTATGCCGAGGCCAACTTCCAGACTAAACGCAACGCGACACGGAACCTCCGCTGGAAGCGGGAGCAGCGCTCTCGAGGCCTCGTTTCTCTCAGTACGGCCGTTCCGGTGCCGGCGCGGTACGACCCGCCTCCCGGCCCCGCACGGAGCTCCCGCAGCCGCGAGCGGCCGGGCCCGACGGATGGAGGCGGGCCGACGGAGGCCTCTTCCCCGCCCGAGCACCCGCGCCGTTCCTTCCGATGGAGATGCGGAGTTCCGCACCCCGACACGACGCCTCCGGGTGTCGGAAGCGGCCCGCCCTCCCTCGGGTCCCCCCGCCAGCGGTTCCGCAGATCGGGGCGGCGCACCGCCTCGCTCCCTCCCTCCTCCCGCCCCGCCGCAGCGCGGTGCCGGACCAGGGCTCGTCCCGGCGCGGGCGATACCTGCTCGGGGCCGCCGGCGTCCCCCTCGGCCCGCTCCCCTTGTTCCGGCGGCCGCGGAGGCTCCTCGGGCCGGTCGTCAGCGGCGGGCGACTCTTCCCCGCCTCCCGCGGCGGTGCACACCCCCTCCTGCTGCTGCTGCTGCTGCTGGCGCCGAGGCTCCCCGCCGGGCTCCGGCGCCTCGGGCTCCGAGTCGGTCTCCCAGGTGGAGTCGCAGTCCTCCACCGTGGTGGGCTCCTTGAAGCTGACGCCGCTGAGCAGGCCGCCCATCGGGCAGCGCCGGGCCGCCGCCGCGCCTCCCGGAGGCCGCGGAGGCCGAGGGCTGGGAGCGGCCGCCGGCTGCCTACGGCTGCGGCATGGCGGGGCGGGGCCGGGGCCGCTGGGGCCGCTCCCCCGCCCGGCCCCAGCCCACAGACGGGCGCGGGGCGGAGCTGCGGGTCCGGGGCTTCCGCGGGAGGCGCCCGGGTGGCGGGGGGGAGAGCGGGGCTCGGCCGGGGCGCGGGGCGGTGCTGCGGGGCTGAAGCGGCGTCGGAAGCGCCGTGGGAATCGGCGCCGTTGTGAAGTTCTCCTCTCCGAGGAGAGCTCGGCGCCCACCGGGACCGAGCCGGGAGGAGCGAGCCGAGCCGGGTGCGTGTCGAGAAGATGGCAGCTCCTTCTGCGGAGCCGCTCGTGTTGTGAGCGGCAGCGTGCGGACACGGGTCGCACGGCGCACGGGTTGCGTTCCTGTGAGGAGGGTTCGGGGTGCGGGAGGCAGGGCTGAGGGACTGCGGCGTGCTGCCCGGGCGGCTTCAGCTCTTCCTGAAGTCCCTCGGGCTTTGGGGTTAAAAGTGATACGGCAGGGCGGGTTTGGCTGGGTAAGGCAGAGAGCTTTGTACTTGGCTAGAGCGTGCGTTTGGGACAGAAGCATTGCCTGGAGGGAAGAGCTGGTGAGATGGAGGCTTATCCTGTTGCAGTGGCTGTGCTCAACTCGGGATTAAAAATGGGCTCTTTGCTTCTAACCAGAATTGTCAGGCCGACCATCTCTGCCTTCTTCCTTGCAGACTGCTTGTTGGTATCCATTGTATGGAGCACTGGTTAGTGCTGACCAGCTCAGCTTGCCCTCCTGTTACGTCTTTTATCTATGCATCCCACATTGACTGTGTTTACATTAGGGACAGCAGAACTTCACCTTGCACATGAATCCAGAAACAGGTGAAGATTTTGTTAATCTTTACCTTGTGTGGCAATTGACTTCACACACAAATCTTCCTGTAAGAAAGCTCTCTCTTGTACAAATAATTGCACCTTGTTATAGAAAGCTCAGTTATACCCAAAGAGCAAACTCCTGTCAGCTTTGCTTTGTCAACTCATCACCGAGTTTTAGGAGACCTTTTTAATGATCTGGAACTCAGGCCACTGATAAGAACTGGGAGTCAAATTAATTGACTTGGTGTCATCATTGGGCAGTGCCAAGAGCAGAGGATTGCTTTGCTTTTGGTAATCCAAGTAATTGAAGTGATGTGATGGAGTTTCCTGAACTACTGGGAAGTATTTTTGGAGTTTCTTCAGAGTTGATAGCTGAGCAGACCATATTGCTTGCAATCCATGCGAGAGATGATATAAGTGAGGCTGGCTGAAGTTTGGGTCACCAGGGTAGTATGTGTTTTGTTAGCCAACCAGATATGTTGTAAGGTATTAGTCGTTGCCTGGAAGGAATACAGGATAAAAGAACTCTCAAATTAGAAACTGAATTGGTGATTGTTGGCATGGCACTCCAAAAAACAAAAACAAAACAAACACCCAACCCCTTCAAATACTCATCTAAATTTTTTATGTTTTAGCTGTAGTCAACTCTCATGCAATCAGTTTTCATCCTTTAGCTTACCATTGGACTAGTGGCTAGTTTCTGAGTTAGTCTGATGAAGAAAAAGAGGATTGAACAGCTCTTATGTAGATTAACAGTGGTCCAGAAAGAACCACTAGTTGTGAAGAGATGGGGGACCTGGTTTGGGACCTGTCTGCATTGTCGTGCAGCTGAATGAGGAAAAAAAGGTCTCCTTCCCTGAATGAGTCATTTCCTATTTTTGTCATCAGTTACTTGCAACTGCACCTCAGCTGCCCAGAGGGATGTAGTTTGGAGTCTTTGAGATGACAATAAGCTCTGGATGTGGCGGGGCAGATCTGTACTTTGCCAGGCTTTTACGTTTTTCCCATGAACAATGTCTTCTTTCACAGATGCAATTTATTGCTGGTTCCAGTTCTGAATAAGAGGTTGCCAGAATTCATGAAGACTTTTCAGCACCTTACTTGGCTTCATAGGATGGTAGTTGAGAGTTTAATCAGATCTCTGCAGAACAATCCTTAATAATAAAAAAAATAATTTTCAGTCATCTCATAGTTGTAATTGGTGGTTAGAAAGTGGTGAACTTCTGGCACTTCAGTTTATCCAGTTATTCCAGTACAAGAGATTACTAAGTGCTAAAGCCAGGAAGATCTATTCCAATCAAAGACTCTGACTTCTACATAACACAGGTCAGAGAAGTTTTTATCTCAGCCATCTTCAAAGAAAGACAGAAGATCTTAAGAACTGCGGGCTGCTATTACATCAATTACTGACTTTTTAAACATCATGTGAGAATGCAGCCAGTTTCTCGAGAGGAATTAATCCATCTGTAGGATGCAGCAAGGCCTAAATAAGCTGCTCAGCACCGACCTCTAATTTATTTTAGGGTCCTCCACAACCCCCATAACGGACTGAAGCCATCTGCCTGGGCCAGCACTCAGCTTCCCTACAGCAGGGCTCCTGAACTGCAGTAGGAAAGCCATTATATTTGGCTGTAGATCCTAGAAAGGAACTCTCTGAAAGAAACCCAGGAGAGTGTTTTGCATGGCCAGATGTGGGCATCCAGGTGGCCTTGGAGATTGCCTGCTGTATCCAACTGCTGCTGCAGAAAGGGCTCCAGAGCTCCACAGGTCACATGGTGTACTTGTGAGCTCCATGCAGATGTCTTGGCTGCTCTAGAACATCTCAAATACGTGATAGGCCTACCTATGAACTGTGCCTGTATATGCCTGGCTGGTTGGCTGAATCACTTTGAGCTGCATTGACTAGCGTTTCATTGATTCTAGTAAGTCAAGAAGGTTGCCTTTTCTGTGGTCATTAAATAAATAGCCATTCTTGTGCTCCATGAATAATAGATACCTATAGAACAGTAGAAGGAGGTGATGGTGTCATACATTGCTGATACATCACTACAGCATGTGTTATTTCATCACTTACAGCTCGTTCCCCACCCATCACGAGGAGGCAATAATAAATTCCACTCTGCTTGAGTTAAAGGGCTTGACTTTTAGTCCACTTAAAGCAGGGGCATCTGCTTCAAGTGCAGTTCAGCAGTAGCAACATGCAGACATGCCACTGAAAATGAAGCAGCACCTTTGTTAGTCTAGATTAGGATCTCACTGTGCCCTGTAAAGGATATGGTCAGCAAATCTTTCGTCTGTTTTCAAGACAGCCAACTCTGACCTTCTTAACTGAGTTTTTGTATGTGACTGAGTGAATTTCTGCAGTCCGGATGGTGCAGTGCACCTATTTCAAAAATCTAATTGACGTCAAGCTTGACATGACTCATGGAGCTCATTGAATTCCTACAAATTAAAAAATGTCAATGTTAAATGGTAGGCATTTGTGCAGTTCAGTACTTTGCTCTCAGAAGGACAGCTGTGGATCTCAGGTGGTTCACGATGGACAGTTTGGAGATGGCTGCCATCATTACCTCTGACAGACTCCACAGCAATCAGTCCCTCCTGGAGGTGGCTCAAAGTCATTCAATGTGAGTGGGACAACTAACTGCAGGCAGTGACTGCCACCACCTGCTTTCCATCCAGCCTTTATCATGCTTTGTATATCACCTGTACAAACCTGCATAAATAAAAAAAGCTGGTGAAATCAATCAGAAATGCAGTTTTTATTGGTTGCTGATCCTTCACAGATTAAGGCAGATATACAGAGAGTGAGATATAACAGCAAACAAGCAAAACCAGAAACCATCAACAATACTGTCTTTCATTTTCTTATCATGGGCCCAGTGATTTTTACAGCTGTGTGGGCTAATTCACATAGTTAAACTATTGTGCATAGCACTAAAACACCAGCTCAATCCTTTGCTGTATAGGGCATGGCTTTTTTCTGTGTTGGCCCTTCCTGTCATTCTTGGATGTCCCCTTCTCCCTATCCCTGCCAATTGTTTATTCTCAGTGGGAAGGCTGGAGGGAGCAGACTGCACAGCTGAAGAGTTCAATGGCTTTGGAGTGACAAGCAATAAGTGGCCCACACCTTGTGGCATGAAACCATTTAAGATGGAGCTGGAGCATGCAACACTTTGCAAACATGACCTTCAGAAAACACTCTGTAGGCAGTTGGTATACGCAGATACACAGTTTATGGAATGAAAGATTTTTCTTTATCTTATTGCTCCTATTATATTCCTTATCACAGGCTTCCTTAGATCAGCACAGGACAGCCTTATCACCATGGTATTGTGCACTTCTAGTCTGAAGAAAGCACTTTAGTAGAGCCTGTAAAAGCCCTCTAGCCCTTTATCTGCTCAGTGCCACCCATGCATTAAGTGTTCTTGTCACCTGAATGGAGCATGAGAGGTTGCAAGTTGAAGAGCTGTAATACTACTGCAGGTGACACTGAAGAGTGAACAAAGTATAGAAAACTCTTCTGATATGGACAAGCTGAGTTATGCCTTAACAAGTAATCCTAAGGAATATTCACTCAAGGAGTCTGGTGCAGTAACTAATATCATCTGAATATAGTAAGTGTGTGCAATATTTCAAAATTAGCTTGCTTAGCTTTGTAACACCCCATAGTACAGCTTGAACCCACCTTGCAGCCTCTGTACAGTACAGGCAGCCTCTGGTGTGCTTGGAAAAGACATCACTGTTTTTTAAATGAGTGTTTGGCTGGGCTGAATGGACCATTGGCATCCAAGCGAGTTCCCTCTGTTCAGAATAAAGAGATGAGTCAATAAGCACAGCATTGTCCTTCTGCATGTGGCAAAGTGGCCCAGCAATATATTGGTGGTAGTGTGCTCAAAATGCAGGGAGTATTTTGATCCAATTCAGTACAGTACAGTTTACTTGTAGCACACTTGCAGAACATTAAAATGGTGGCATTTTTTGTTTGTGGTGTTTTATGCAATGGTTCTTTGTAATGGGAAGCTACAGGTTAAGATCAGGAGATAAAGTAAACATTGGAACGAACACATGTTAAAAGAATATGCTGCATGTTTTTATGCATTAGTACATTCTTCAGAGGAAATGTTTCTCTCTTTCAGTATGAAAATGAAATAAAGGTTTCCAGGCATACAAGAGCATTAATTTTGAGTTTGTTGGTTGTAAAAAACATCCATTGTGCTGGATGTTTTGTAAGGGAGCTGGCTCAACATGAGCAGTTCACTCTCGCGGAGTTCACTCTCATGCAGGTGTCTGCAGATGCAAGAAATGTGAGAGATCTCCTGTTTCTGCTCCTGATGAGAATGATTACTATTTGCATTAAATTTCCATGAAACGTGTCACCCTGTAGCACAACTCATAGCTGGCCTACAGCTGTAAAATAACCTGTAGTTCTGAGAGCATGCAAAAAGCAAACAAACACACAAATGGAAAACAAATCCCACAGCATAGTTTTAGGACTAAAAATGTAGAGTAGGAGAAATCACCCTCAGCAGTGTTTTTTGAGCAGACACAGCTCCAGTATCATGGCTTTGGTGTGTTCTTTCATCTACATTACAAAGGAATGCTTGTTGCAGATAGTGTGAGCAGTATTCATTACTTATTTAAGCAGCTTGATAATTTGGTATGTTCATAGACCACAGGTTCTCAGTGCTGTCAGTTATCCACCAATATATGATTTAAACCTTCTTTCAGTATTCCTTTATGCAGTCCTGAGATTTAATGAGGTTGGCGCTCAGATGGTGAGGTGAAAGCTAGTGATGGCTGACGTGTTTGTGAGACGTTTTGAGCCAGGAAGAAAACATCAGGAAATGAATAAAACTTGTGAAAGAAATCATGATTAGCATACTGGGTATGAAAATGATGGAAAATGAGAAGTGATTCAATTTAACTAAAAAACAAAAAAAAACCACCACCACCAACAACAAAAAAAACCAACAGCAAAAAGCATGACAACTACATCTCTGTCATCTGTCTGAGATGCAGAAGGATGTCAGCTTCCTGTGCAACATCAGACATCTTCAGCTTCTGTGCCTCTAACTACTTGCTCAGAGTCCCCTGCAGAAAACTGGAACTGTTAGGTCATGATTCACTTAATCCTAATATAAACATTTAAATTTAGGCCTGAAGAAGTGTCTCTTTCTTCAAGGGTGTGTCTCTATTAGTGCATTAGTCTGGATCAGAAGAGTGCTTTTACCACTAACTTCCCAGTCCTTCCACCTACTGGGCTTTGGTTCACATTATGATTCACAGAGTCTCAAAGCACATTAGCTTAATTTTTTTAGATAAAACAACCTGGAAGATAAAGTGCAGGAGTGCACATAATGCACTGCAGGTGCAGTGGGCATTCAGTCCATAGGAGTGGACTAGGGCTAGTCTCAAGACGAAAAAGATCTCCAAAATGTTCATGTTCAAAAGGCCAGGTCCTCAGCACTGACTGATTTGCTCTACAGGTTTACTGTCAGTTCTCACTGTCTTCTACTATAAGATAAAGTGAAGAAGTGAAAAATGACAAAGAAAAGGTCCTTGCTTCTTTAACCATTGGAGAAGTTTAGGAAAACAAGATGGCTAAGCTAACAGACTTAAAAGTGAATGAAATGAATTGCTGCCAGATAGACTCTATACTGGTTTTACAAAATGCATTGTTAAAAAAAAAGGAAGCATCATTTAAACATAGGCAGAAACAAGCCCTTCATAGGACCTGCAGCAGTGAATTAATTGAGAATGTAATGTACTTGCTGATTACTGATTACTCTTCCAGGCTTCCAGAGTTAGTATATCTGTCTGAGATGGCTAGTAAATTCAAAATACAGCTAACTGTGGGATTTTGTTTATAGCAGTAGAGCTTCAGGGCTTCATCCAAGCATAAATTATTGTAAGCTAACTGTGATGTTATTACCTACAGGTTTATATAGCTGCAAAAGAACAGCACAAACTGCAAAACAAAGCATAAAGTCCATTTCTAGCAGTAGTGACCCAAGTGCACCAGTTCCTTAAGTAAGAAGTTATATTACACACCTGATAATAAAGTATTAGCACAACTACTGGAATCCCAAAGCAAAAGAGAACTCTTCAGGTTACGTCTGTAAATTGCAAGATGGCACAAGAAGCTGGTGAAAAATATCACTAAACAGGGCCCTACCAGGAGCCTGGAACACACTGATGTATGCTTAAAGATGGTCCTGAATTTCCATTGGTTTTGGTTCAGTCCTTTGGAGATAGTTCTTTGGAGACGTGATGGCACTTTGATGTCAGACTGTGTTGGCACACCAGTTGCTATATGGTTTTGGTGTGCTACCAGCACTGCTTTAGTCACAGACCCAGAGCACTGCGCCACATAGGCTGCTATGAAGAAAATTAACTCCATCCCAGCCGGATCCAGTACAGAGTCCAGATCGTCTTTCCCTCTTTATCACCTGTCTTCTGGGTGAGCAGATTCCTGTGCCATATTCCCTGCTAGTTGATTACCCTTAAGAAAAGACAAAGTCATGTTCATGGCCTACACTGGTATGACAGCCCTTGTGCAGGGATGCCCAAGAACCTAAAGAGTAATTGCTCAAGGCTGGCAACTTCTGTCCCAGAGGAGAAGGAGGAGGTACCATTCAATCAAATCTCTCCTTGTCTTAAACCTCTCAAGTCCCATGCTGGGCACCAAAAAGGACCATGGTGGGCTGCTTGCTCATTCCTCTCCTCTAGCAGGATGGAAGGAGAACATAGGAAGAACAAAGGGGACAGAGCCTGTGGTGTCAGATAAAATCTAATCAGTAAAGGAAGAGAATAAAGGAAGTGAAACATGGGAGACTGCACAGGCAGACCGATGTCCTGCCAGTCTCTGAACATTGGCCCACCCCTTCTTCTCCTACCTCAGCTTTTCTTGCTGAGCATGATGCCTTACAGTGTGGCATATCACTTTGGTCCATTTGGATCTGCTGTCCCAGCTGTGTTGCCCTCCCACTCTCCTGCCCACTTGCTTCCCATGGGGGCCGAGTGGAAAAAGGAGAGAGTTTGGATGCTGTGAAAGCACTGCTTAGCAGCAGCCATTGGTGTGTTTCAGCTACAAATTCAGAACACAGCACCATACGGGGCCATTGTGGAGAAGCTCAACTTCATCCAAACCAGCTTGCTCCACCTTGGAGCAATCACTCCAAGCGGTCTTTTACAAGAAGTGCCAGATATGGCATAGTCTAAGAATGCTGCCTTTGTTTCACAAACTTTAAGGTGTTCCTCATGCAATGTATTTGTATACTTTCAGGGAAGTTTCATAACCTTTTACACTTCCTGTAAATGAATGGAGACTGATTCTTTGGAAGAAAATGACATTCTGTTTTCTGTAATACCTCCAATTACAACAACTAGATTTGACATGTTTCTGTAGTTTCTTTCTCTTAGGATTAGTAAGCTCTTTCAACCTTTCACGTGGTTAAAATTGTGCTTTCCTGGGAACACAATTCTGAGTAAATTTTAGTAAAGCTGCTAGACAAATAGTATCAAAATCTTCCCTTCCCCCCTGAATTATGTATATGTTAGAAACCTCACAAGTGGTCTGCTCTGTAAAACAGGTGTAGTATGGAAAGGAATTCATGTAGAATCACTGCAGCCCTGCACTTTAAAAAAAATCAAAGCTTTGTACTGACTTTCTGAGTGAGCACAAAACCACCTCAAAGTCTAAATACAGCCTGCCATGAGGAGCCATTAAATTTTTATTTTTGCAAGCTATACTCAAAACTAAGGGGACACTATCCAATACATCTCTTAATAGCTAATATCCTTTTAAAAACTGAAATTTAAAAGCAATCTTTGTAATCTTTGGTTGAAAAGTATTCCTATTTCCACTTCAGTAAAATAATAGATTCATATAATTGTGGCTTCTCTGCATGGCAACAAACCAACACAGACAGTTCTGGTCCTCTGTGGATGTTTCTGCACGTAACACAGTTTCATACACTGATGCAGTGCTGCTGCTTCATTCTCTAACACTTCTTTTCATTTGTAAAAGAGGTGTATCCTGAAATAACCAAGAATTCTTTTACTGCAAGCATTTATCTCCTCTGAGAATGGAGAAGGCTAGCAAAGCTAATCAATATAACAATATAGAGAAAATCATACAGTTTAGACATGAACAAAAATTTACATCCTTCCTTATGCCTGCTTTTCAGAACAGCAGCATCAGTCTTGCTCTCCTTGCAAATAAATGTCTTTTTCTCTTGTATTAAAGCAAGTTGCTTGTCCCAGTCAAGGACTTATTGTACAGCCCCGTGTACAAAACCATAGGATGCAAGCTAAATCCCTGACCTTGAGTAATTCACTTCAGATCAGCTCGTGTTAGCACTGGTGCAAGTCAGATAGCGTGCATGAGCCCAGCACCATTGTCTATCCACAAAACTAAATGCAAAATGCAACAAAATAAAGTGGAAAGTGAGCATAGAGAGTGAAGAAGGGTAGATGAGATCGGTAACACTGAGAAAATAGTGTGTCTTCACCTCAGTGGGCTGTATGCACAAGATGCAGGACCAAAGCATGGATCTGTTAGTTTCCTGGCCCTAAGGTTGCCCTTGTGTGCTTGTTAGATGTCACCATAGATCCGTGAGGTGCACCCGGCCTGTGCAATACTACAGCAAGTGAAAGGCACATCAACACCACAGCCCTGTCATGAGGGCACAAACCACAGAGTCTGGCAGCTCGTGGGTTTGCCTGGTGTCAGGGGAAGGTTTGCATCCAGTCTGCAGAAAGCATACTGCATCCCTGTAGCAGTGATGCCACTCACAGTTACCTGATGAGTAGCTCCTGCTGTATCTGCTCCCTGCTGAGCTGAGTCACTGGTACAGAGTGCAGAGACAGCGATCAGTTCATGTGATGTGCATGACAAGACATTCAAAATAAGAATACAGCACTGACAGTGGATTGTAGTAAAAGCCATGGCAACCTAAAGTGTTTGACTGAGAACATGCTGTGTAGGATCTCTGCCTACTAGCTTTCTTTCACTCCCACATCAAATTCTTTGTCCCTAATGGGATGCTACCACTGTACAGATCTAGGCTGAGCATTCCTCCAACACTAGGAAAGAGATAGTTACCAAGTTATCCTTTAGCCACTGCTCATATACCAGCTTTTGAGATTACCAACATGAAGACGTACATCATGTTGGCAGGATCTGAGCAGGCTTCTTAAGCATTGAAGAACAAGGACAACTGAATTAGTCACCCTAACTCTGATGTCTGGTGACGTCTGTGGTATTCAGAGGAATCAGAGATGTTCAGTATAGCAAGATATGATACCAGTCTTACAGTAAACCTACATCTAAAAAGCATGATCTATTGGCCAACCTGGAGACTTCAGATTGAGCAGATACATTTGAGCAGAGCACTTAAAAGATGGCAAAAGGATGGCACATGTTGGAAATTTAGGCTGTGCCTCCAAGTTCCAAGAACTTAGTGGGAAATCTAACCAACAAGCTCTGTTATACTCAGTGACAACCCAACTAATGCAGCTCAGGGAGCCTAAGAATGATTGGACTCACTGCATAGCAGACAGCTGATGGCTGTTCAGACAGCTGATGGCTGTTCAGCCAATGCCCTCTATGCTCACTGAAATGGGAATATGCAACAGTAGGAAGAGCTATAGGCACCTGCACTAAGGCATCAATCTTAAACTGGATTCTGCTCACCTAGCCAGAACATTTTTGACAGCCATGTTCTATATCAAAATTAATAACAATAATAATAATAAAGTGTCGTGGTCTAGCTTTTGTTTTTATGGCAGTGCACTGGTTTGGATTGTGACAACTACAGCAGTGATTTATTCATGTAGAAGTCCGCAGTGTAAACAGGTATCACGCAAAAAAGGAAAGACTTTCATTACTTATTAGATATATTACAAAATGTTCCTCCTTTTCTTTTATGATAGCACAATAACAGTCATCTTTATGTTGTATCTCTCCTTTGAAATGATCCAGTCATAAAGCCTCAAAAATTCAACTGCAGTTAGACAGGCACCATCCTGACCCAGACCGACTGTATTCCCCCATGCATCTCTATCCATCTGCTATTTTCCTTCTTCTATGCCAAGATTATCTATCATCTAGGACAAGGGAATGCCTTTTATTTTGTAGCTGTTCAGGACTATGGAATAGGGGCTACAAGAATACAAATCATCAGCATCACGGTGTCCATGATGATTTATGCTCCCCTGCTAGCCAAAGACCTGAAATCCTTGCATACTTTTTAAGAAGAGAGGCACTGCAAGTATATATTAAAAAAAAAATACTAGCAGCTCTGGTAGCTGGTGAAAATGATTCAGGATAATCAATCTTCTAAGCTTTACTGCTGAGCATCACCATACTCAGCAGGAGCCAGGAGCACTAGTTATTTTCTTTAGATTAGACACAGGTGGCATCAGGTGCTCTCATCAACCAAAAGGAGTACAGGTAAATTGGTGACTAACCAATTTTGTTTGGTGGGAAACCAATCACAAAGCAAACTGGGGCAGGTTTTATTTACGGGTGGAACAGTTAGGCCAGGAAAGGGATCGAGGCCAGAGGAAGAGATGGGGTGTTCATTGTGGGAGGGTTCTGCTGGAATTTGTAAGAAATTACACCAGTAATTGTAAAAGAAGGAATCTCAGAGAAATAAGCTCACAGTAATTAAGGTGCAGTAACTATGGTTACTAAGGAAACAGTGAGAAAGAAAAGCTGAACCACAACTCAGGGCATGGATACAATTTTAACACCAAAAGCCTAATTCTAGCTTTCTGAAATACAAGTAGGTGCACAGCCCATCCACGTTCCCAATTACAGTATGTATGTGTATGTATACGTCCACATATATATATAACTATCATAGAATGAAGCGAAGACAAAGGGAATAGAAAAATGAGTCACACAACTATGAAGTTCATCATGTACTCAGAGGAAGCAGTGCTGTGTTTTTAGTTTGACAGCTCAGGGCAAGTGCCCCGGGACTTTCCCTGGGGAATTTCTATTGCCACAAAGAGGAAATGAGCGTCTTCAGTTTGACCTGAGGATTTCTAAAGAGACACGAAGGCTCCCTGAGAAGGAAGTATGTCTACTGCAGGCCTAGCACAACCCTCCCAGAAAAGGACATGTTAACTCTAGAGCTAATGATCATAAATACTCCTAAAGTGCAGCAAGAACGTGGAATTTGGCAAGTCCCACCAAAACAAAACAAAGCAAACAGAAAAACACTGAGAAAAAGGGTAAATATTTAAGCAAATCCACACTGAACTTCATAGAATTTTTGACAGCCACTGAGTGAATTAATGTGCATTTTTGAAACAAGATGGGATAGTTTGGTGATCCATAGCTTGGTCCATATGGTGACTGTTGCAATGGAGTTTACCTTCTGTGCTGTTTTCCAAGGGCTGTCTGCCCTACAGCCAACAGCCTAGCCACAGCCACCCCCAAGGCATGGCTTTGGACCTGAATACAGCAACAAGGCTGCATTCCTATTTTGGTAGTGGTAGTGTACTAAAGCCATACCTGGCTGTGCCCTTGTGCTCTCTTGCAGGCTCATTATGGTTTCCTTACCCCGTGTAGATATACCCTCTAAGGCTGCAATTTGAATTAGTCACCTAGGTTTCTTCTTCAATCACAAGTAAGAAGCAGGTAGCATCACCTCACTCATCCTAAACAGCTCCTCATCACAAAACCCATTTCAAAGTGCCTATATTTCTAAGCTAGGAATCTAGACTCCCACTGTAAACTGGCGAAGACTGTAGCTTCTCTACAGTTAGGTAAAATGAGTCCCATCCCTTACCAGATACAGTTTTCTGAAGGTGGAATGGACTGCTACCAGGCAGAAATATCTCAGATGTCCTGGCACAACATTTTTTTGCAACACTCTCATCCTTTGGAGTTGTATCCGGCAGCCAGGAGAACTGCATGAGCACATCTTTGCACTGGACACCAAAGTGCTTCTGTCTGATAGCTGAGTGGGCAACTTCCCCCAAAGCCAGGACACAGACAAAAGAGCCTATAGATTCATCTTGACAAAGGGCGGGCATTTATGCAGCCAGAAATGTGCTTACAAGGTTAGCAGATAGGATTGAGGAAGTCAGGCAGGATTGCTAGTAAATAACTGGACACCTGCGCTTATGGATCTGAATTGAGCCCGTAGATTCATGTTGTCTCTGTAGGCTGTTACTGGAAAGTCAAAATATTTTACAAGAAAAAAATTTGATGAGTTTTCACCCTGCTGTTCCCAAGAAACGGCGAAGTTTAGTTTTCTATTTTATTTTTCTTCAAGGTCCTCCTAGGCATTAGAGGCGTGGTTTGATGTAGTTCTATCTATGCAGGTCCAGATGGTGTGACACTGGAGTTATGAGTCACCAGTGCCCTTTTGGACCAAAGCAAGAATCCAGACAGACTGAGAGCAGTAACACTGATGCTGGGCAAGTGAGTCAAGTCCAAAACACATTTGACTCATGGCTAAGATGGATACAATTTTAATACTTATTTTAAAAGATAAGACTGAAATAATTTTCATAATGAAAATGAAGATACCATAATATATTTAATTTTGGGGCAGTAGGTTTCCAAAGATGACCTCAGTTTCTACATTCTTTCAGCACAATCACAGTCTGAACTCAGTGGTAATACGAGCAAAATTATATGAATTCAGCTCCATTTCTTTCCAATAATGAGAAGAATAACACTTCCTTTATTCACACTAGGATACAGACCCCTCGTCTCAAACATAAAGGATTTTTTTTCTATATGATAAATAATATTAAAAAAAACCTGAAGATTTGAAGATTCAAGAAAAGAATTCAGAGTGAGTAAAAAACAACACTTCCTACTGACACTGGTGAGGAGCTTCATCTTAAACACGGGAGTCCTGGAATGAATCACAGGAACTCTCTCATCATCAAAAATTTACACATCCTATAATCCCTAAAGGGAAAAATCGTATCTGATAAAAATCTTTAGACCAAAATTAGAAAGTAACAATAAAGCTGACAAAACTGTCTGAAGTACATGTTCTAGCAGAGAATTATTAGAAAGTCAGCATAAAGTGCCTCTTAATCATACTCATCATGCATCTCTTGGCAGTAAATCCAAGCAACTCTGGTTTTATATACCTCTACGGACCTTATTTTATTGCTTACTTGCTTGGTAAATTTAAACTAAGTACATAGGCAAAAAGTGTCTAGAGTGTCACCTGGAAAAGGTAACTTCCTATCACTCATTATGAGCCTGCTTTAAAATATCCAGGGCTTAGAGCCAAGAGCGTGAGTTTGCAAAGCTCAAATGACTGGTCAAACCATTGGAAATATGAATGCGGCACATTGAATTTCTCAGTTACGAGCAGTTGAAGCAAATGTCTCAGAAGTTAAGAATCTCTAAATCCCATAATTTCCTGAACCTTCCAGTTCCCCCAGGAAAGAGCAATAAACCTGGACTTCCTCCCAGCCCCACTAGCTGGAGGATGAATGGTGTTACCGTTGCCAGAGCAGGATGTGAGGGAGCACGCAACAGGTTCCATCAGGCACTGTGAAGTCCCTTGTCAGATGTCACAAGAGTTTCCAAGTTATTGCATGGTGCTTAAACAAGATAAAATTAATTCAGTGTTTAGAAATTAAATATCTATGTTCTCACTGTAATTACTGCTAAAACAGGTTGAAGAGTTTACACACGATCTCAAAAATAGGCTTTTACACCACATACACGTAAATCATTTTAAAAAACAGTTATTATTTCAAATGCTCAGAAACTCCTGACAAGGGACTAATTCATAACACTGTTTTGCTGGTCTTAATCAAATGGACACTATTGTCTCCAAAAGCCTGAATTACTGTGAAATCTTAGGTGCCTTATGTTGTCTGTTTCCAACTATATTTAACGTTGCTTTATTACTTAAAAATACAACCTTGAAAGTAAGATGACAAGAACTAGATTTATTTGGTCTAAAGGGATACGAATTAAAGGAAACAAGCAAGATAACTGTATAAATATTTGCACAAAAAGTAATGAAAGGAAAAGAAATATTTCCACTGGGGATTAGCTGTAATAGTGTAAAGGGCTGAAGTTGAAACAGAACCAGTTCAAGCTCTGTCTCAGGAAGAAGTGTTTTTGAAGACACTATGGATGACAGGACAGAAAGGAAACTTTGTGATTCTTTTGTAGTGAATACATTGATCCTCTTCCTTTTCGCCTTCCCAGGTAACTAAAGAGAGGTTTTTCAGTTCTTTCAGGCCTAATTTATTGGGTTTTGCCATCTGATTTTCACAGTCAGAAAAAAAAAAGTGGCCTTTGTGCCTCCTTATGAGTCACCAAAATCATTTGAGTTGTCAGACCACCACACAATTAGAAACTCTCAGGAGGTTCTGTCCTCCATTTTAGCCCATGTCAAGGACACCAGTAGAGAACACATCTTAGCTTCCATATAACTTAAGGGAGGACATGCAGACAGATGAGGAAGGTCATGAAAACCCCATGGTACGCAGCACACTGATTGGGCAGCTTGAGACACCATGAGACCACATGGGAGAAGGCATCCTGCAAGCTGAGGTGCTTTTAGAAAGGTGGGGTTGAGAACACACACTGGGTTTGATGACCCACTCAGTTCCTGGGTGAGCTATGGGGTGATGTTCTATGGAGTTAAGCTGTAGCTTATGCAGAAACTCCTGCAGTTAGCCCTCAGAGCATTTATTTGCATTTTGTGAAACAAACAGGATTCTGCCTGCGTGTACAACTAAAAATTAATAATTGAGTTACTCTCTCAGAAGAGCAATACAACAAAAATCAGTTGTTATTAACCTTAGGAAGAGCAATATATTGCCTATACATAAACTGCAAGACTGCACAGGTCCCCTAACACCTAGCCCACCCACAATTAGCATTTATAGATCAGTCATACTGAAAGATATCCTGAAATGAACTGTAAACACTAAGGATAAGCTCCTCTAGTTAGACAAAGTCATCCATTCAGCTCCCTGCAAAATGGAGAGAGATCAATGCTGCCCTGTAAAAGGCAGTGAGAAGCCCGATGCAATTCTCATTGAAAAGTATAGAAAAATGATCAGGCTCATAAAGGAAAATGAAAGCCAGCTTATATTTAAGGGAGAGATATAAAACCTGTATACATAAAAAAGTACAAGTACCTTAAGCTATAGACACATCACCAAGCTTTAAAGTTTGCTTCTGACAGATAGAACACGTTTGCTTTGACTGAGTGCCAGTACTAGTGGAAGGCCCATGGGAAAACCAGAATACTGTGCAGTTGGGTTGTCTGACCTTTTCTGAGAGGCTCCTGACTCTCAGAACCACTCTTCTGACTCTCAGAAAGGTTGGGAGGGTTTAAGTACAAATTGAAGATGAAAAAAAGTAATAGGAAGATGTAGGAAAAAGAAAGGAAAAGAAAAGAAACCGACAGCCATGGAAACATTTCTTCTAACTTGTTCCCTCTGGCATCGCTTTGTTAAATCAATGTTAGCTCTTCCAGGGACTCTGCCGTGCTTTGAATGTGGCTTTGGCTGTGGTCAGATGACTGGTGCAGAGCACTTGGTACAGACTGTTGTTATCAGTGGTAGTGGTGGCTCTTTGTTTCCTAGATGTACATATATTAAAAAATAAAGTTGAGGCCTTGCACTCATCTAGAGCTGGAGTTTCCGCCCAGCACCAGTGACCCAGCAGAATGCAGCACTCCTCATACTCCTCTCGCTTCCTCACGCAAGCACCAAACCATAGGAGCACCAGCAAGGGCTGCTGAGGAAGGAGAGCCTCATACAGCTTGCTGTGCTATGCAGCTCTGTGCTGGGAGGCAGGTAGCAGGCTGGTACCAACCAACACGTAGTAATGCACATCTTAGCATCATAGCAGTTTCTGTGCCAGCTGGGATCACTGCAGTCACATCCGGAGGTCTGCAAGAGATTCAGAAAACAGAGTTGGAGCCACATGCAATTAATTAGTCAAGCTCCTGTACACAGAGATCAAACCAACAGCAAGCGCCTGGGGATTTTATGCTCCTTTTCTCCTGCTTCCTGAACTACTCTGAGCATGACTTTTTGCCTGTTTTGTTGCTTTGGGTTTGTTTGTTTTTGTTTTTATTTTTAATTATTTTTATTTTTGCTTTTTTCTTAATGAATTTCTGCTTCCCAGTAAGCAGAGATGAGGACTGTGTGGCAAGTCATTGACTATTCACAGGAGAGAAAAGGAGGTCTCATTCAGTTAAAACAGTAATAATACTAAAATTAAAGTCTGGCTGTGTTTCTCTAGCTACATTACTTAACAAAATATTTGTTCTGAGCTGCAGCCTTCAGACGAGAAAGAAGCTCCTTGTTTTTCAGAGACAGACAAAGCAGTCAAATGGTGACTTCGATGGAGCAATGAAGTTATATTAAAGCAGAAGATCAACTGATATTCAAGTTCCATCCCAGCTTTCTGTTCCACCCTTTAAAGTGATCCCACCACGATGACGCATTGAGACGGGTGGACAAAGCTAGAGTTATATATAACCTCTGGAGGATTTGGAGGCCAGAAACCTAAGCATCTCCCAGCTTTTTTCACACCGAATGTGTATTTTTGGCATGATCAGAAGCTAATTAGAATTACCAGGAGTAATTACATGGGCTGAGGCTCCCTGCCAGGCTGTGGCATTGTGGCCCTGGCACCCCACGCAGCTGGCAGTGAGCCCCAGCAGCGAAGCCTTGCATCCAAACCACACGGTCTGAATTATTCCCACAGGAAGATGCTACTTCCAAGTTGTGTTACCAAGGAATATTCTCTGCCTTCAGTGTAACTGTTCACTAACATGCATCTTGTGTATGAAATACAACAGAAATGCTGACAGGCCAGCTTTCATGGCTGCTGACACCAACTTTCTGAGCAGGGCTACGCACGTTGTGCTGACACAACCCTTCTCCAGAACAGCTGCAATCACTTGCTGCTTTGGTGAGGGAACGGGGGTGTTTCTTTTCTTTCTTTGCTTCCCATGAAGGGTTCCGAAGTGCCAGCTGTGCCGTAGGGCTGAGGCCACCAATGCTTATGCTACAGATGTGAGCGTGTGAAAGGGAAAGCCATTTCCCCTTCTAGTTTCATTCTTCATTTTTCCTTCAGATGATCAGATTTAATAATCTCCCACTCGACAGTATGTGGGTAAGATGGACAGTGCTCAGTTATGCTGAATAAGGCATAACACCTATTTTTCTAAGCTGATAAGCACTCAGGACAGGCAAAATTCCAACAGAGAGCCAGATATCAGCCCCATTTACTTGAAGGTTAGTGAGCGCATTCACAGAATGTAAATGCAGCCAGAGGGTAAAGCACTGGCTTCTTGGGCTCAGTCTTTTGGGGCAGAGCTAGAGTATAAGTGTTTGAAGATATTCAAGTAGCCTCTCAGATTACTATACAGCACAGATAATTAAGAGTTCATGTCTCCCTTCATCAACAAAGTGCTTAAGGACATGCTTAAAAGTGTTTTGCTGATTTTGGCCTCCGGTACTTCTCTGCAAGGAACCAAATGCCTACAGCTCCCCTTGGAAAGGGAAAGTGCATTTGGACCTTGGAGGAACTGATGCACTTTGCGAAGTCTTTCCCAACAGCCATCACAGCAGGAACCTCACTGCTTAGTTTGAATACCCTATAGGAATGACTGACAAACTGTGCCTAGGTCAATGCAGTGGGTTTATTTGAAATTCCAGATTTTCCTAAGTTGTGAACACTCATTTTGTTGTTCCTACAGTTGCTTTAGTATAGTGCAAGGTTAATCTGTCTCTCTACTCACCTTGTTACTCACAGAAGGAAGGAGTCTGTTCACAGAGCAATCTTGTTCCTCTGAGTGACTCCACTTGAGTATGAAGGCTCCAAGCACAGTACTCAGCAGCACAGAGTGGATGTTTATCCTGAGCTCAGATCTTCTGAAAGAGCAACTGAAAAGAAAACAAGCCAGCAGCAATGCACAATACAAAATACCTGCCCAGTGCAATCCCCTCTGATACAGACAGAAATCAACACAGTCACATTGCTTATCTGAGCCGAACACAGACAGAAATCCTGGGCAGATGGATGGAATATTGCAGTGCCAGACAAGCCAGGACTTCCCTGTACCGCCAGCTACCAAGTCTTGCCTTCTCCTGACCCTTCATTGTAAGGATCACAGAAAGTGAAGTGATCTGCATCTCCTCAGCATATCAAATTCATTGCCTACAAATATACATTTTGACAGAAAAAATGAACAATTCTAAATTTAATCAAAATGAAAACATGAAATAGACTCTCCCAAAGCTCTAGCATTTGAAATTCTCTGAAGCCTTATTCAAATAAAAAAATTTTCCTTTCCTGTACCAAAGGGACACGGAGTCCCAATGCTTTCCACAGAAAGCCATCTAAGATGGTCTGATATCACTTCGTCCCTTGGTGCTGCTTCTCTAACACACCCTCTAGAATACAGTGGGGGCAAAGAGGGTATTTAGAGGGTGACAAAAATAACTTGAAAAGTGCCAGCAAAATGCAAGATGCAAATGTCAGCTGTACTGCTTGGGGCCAGAGAGCTCTAAAAAAATGCAAACAGCAGCTTTGTGCTACTGCCAGTTTTGAAGGCCTCACCTCTCCCCACCTCCAAAAACAGGGATCATGACAGGCAAAAAAATAAAATAAATAGAAGGAAAGTTTCTGAAACCTACAGGCTGATTAGCAGCGAGATCGCAGTAACCAGATGCTGGCGCACAAGGAGGATTTTAAAAAAAGTCCTGTCCATTATGCAACTGTCAAAAACATCTCTGCCTCAAACAAAAAACTCCAAAAATAGGCCAAATGTGCTGTACTTCATGGACTAGCTAGCTGCAAAAACATTTCAGACTGCCTTAACTATGGCCTGAATCCTAAACGAACAAGGAGGTTAAGCAGCATGCAGCATTCACATTGATCTAAAGCAGAAAAATCACTTCTGCTTTTCCAGCAACATGGTCCTGAATTAGAAAACAGGGCAACTTGTTCCAGCATCTCACCACCCTTGCAGTAAAGAATTCATTCCTGATATCTAATCTAAATCTACCCTCTTCCAGTTTAAAACCATTTTCCCTTGTCCTGTAACTACATGCCCTTATAAAAATCCCTCCCCAACTTTCCTGTAGGCTCCCTTCAGGTTCCAGAAGGCTGCTATAACATTTTCCCAGAGCTTTCTTTTATCCAGGCTGAAGATTCCCCATCTTTCAGCCTGCCCTAGGTGCTCCAGCCCTCTTATCACCTTCATGGCCCTCCTCTGGACCTGCTCCAACAGATCCATATCCTTTTCATGCTGGGGACTCCAGAATTGGACACAGTACTCCAGATGGGGTCTCACAAGAGCAGAGTAGAGGAGCAGAATCCCCTTCCTTGACCTGCTGTCACACTTCTGTTGACATGACCCAGGATATGATTGGCCTTCTGGGTTGCAAGTGCACATTGCCAGCTCAGACTGAAGCTTTCAATTGACGCTCCCAAATCCTTCTCCTCAGGGCTGCTCTCAGGCTATTCTCCACCCAACCCGTACCTGTGTTTGGGATTGCAAAAAAGATTTAGCTGTTACTGCTATATCCTTCTCTTCTATTATTTTCAGTTTTACCTGGAGGCAGTGTATTGCAGTGCGACCAAAGGACGCACCCTGCACTGACACATGGCCACAGGGCAGGCAGAAGGGGTGGCATGGTGTGCCAGACCCAAGCACTCCCTCTGGGCCCTGCAGAAAACTGAGGAAAACATTTGATTTAATTCTCTGGGTAAGGATCTTAGATTGCTTTCTCTGGACAGAGTGCCAAAGAGGAAAGGCAAACTGTTGCTGTACCAGAACAGCGATAGCAGCGAAGTTTTTTTGCACAGCACTGTAGGGACTCCTCACTGAGGAAGCTGCACATCACCTCCATAAGCTCCTCCTGCTTTTCCTGTTGGAGAATGTTTTCTTTATTTCCCAAGCCTTCTCTCTACCCAAGCCATTCTCAGATTGCTTCTGTTAAGTCTTTCCATGGGCCTGTTTCTAGAACTGTCCAGACACCCACATCCTTCACCCTATTTTTTTGTATCATTTAGTATCATTGCTACTGTCTTGGTTTCAGCTGGTTGACTTTTTATCCACACTGTCTGATATGATACTACATTTTAGCTTTAGGATAAATACAGTGTTGATAACACACTAACGTTCTAGCTGTTGCTGTATGGAGCCAAGGACACGTCAGGTTCTCATACTCTCCTGCCAGCAAGGGAGGCTGCAGGACTGGGGGACACAAGGAGCTGGGAGGGTGTCTCCAGGAGGCAGGAGAACTGACCAAAGGAAAATGTCATACTTTGTGACACCGTGGAGAGAGGAGCTGGACAGGAGAGCCAGACACCGCTCAGGTCAGTCAACCATTGCACTGTGCATCACTTATTTTATAAATATATATTATTATTTTCCTTTTTCTCTTCCTTTTTTGATTTTCAGTAAAATGTCAAGTACTTGCCTATGCCTAAAATCCGTATGTTACTATTAAAACTGGTTGCAAATTTGATTTTGGATTTTTTATTCTATTTTAAATGATTTTTGGAAAACTGTTCTATCTGAGCATGTTTCCCAGAATGAGGTCATATATAGGTTAAGTCCTAGAAAACAATTAACAAAAAAAGTCGATGTTCCTGCCTGAAATAAAATGAAGCTTTCTTCCCCTGCATGTATCTTTTGGTGTCTTGGTCCAAATTCAGACATTAAAAATCACCCTAGAAAGCTAAGGCAGATGACCTCACCCTGCTGGTGACGGCCACATACATTCACCTTTCTTTCAGGATAATCTGAAGTGAACCCAGACTTGTGGAGGTCCTTAGAAGTTCAGGAAGGAATGCAGCAGGAGGGGAACACTTGCAGGACACACAAGTCCAGCCCTAACACCAAGTCTACCAGGATATGTGCTCTGAGGTTTACAAAGAGCAAAAAAACCTGCGACTCAAAAGTTAAATGACTACAACCTGAAGCGCAAGCAATGCATTTGAGATATTTTCAGACATTGTTCCAGCCTGAAAACGTACTCAAAAAATCTAAATGCAGGTATATATATTTTTAAGCCCTAACTAATACACTTCATTTCCCTTATCAGCATTTCCACAAATGTGTTATATTATATGTGTCCAAACCATTAGATTTACCCCTTAAAGGCTTTAAATCTACTCAGCTCCAGTCTCTGACCTGGACCAGCTTTTTTTTTTTTTTCCCCACTGCCTAGAATCTGAAATTTCTTTTCCAGCTGCCAATAATTACTCCGTTCCAGTACACAAAGATGTAAATCCTTGCTGCTCTCCATTCAGATTTGTCTTTAAAAATTCTTCACGGACTTCAGTGGAAAACTTACCATTCAGTTTGTATCTGGAGTTTCCTGGACTGGTAGTTCAAACATCAGCTTCGATTTGTCTTTAACATTCCTCACTTTTAATCCTTTTCTTCCCCGATTTGGAAGAGCTCAACAGCTCACAGAAGAACCTCACTATATACCTTCCATTCATTTTCTTTTGTCCTCAGAGTTTAGCTGTGCTCCCTTCCTACCACAATACAGGGTCAGTCTGCAGTCAGTTTCCATAGCTCTCAGCTCTGAGCTGGAGAACAACAAAGCCTCACTGAGGAGCATTTAAGCTAACAGGCACACAGCTCTGCAGGAAAGAAACATTGGGTAAACCACAGGTAACAACACACTGTCAGAATAAAGCTTGCCACTGGAAAGAGCAGAAAAGAGATTTGCATCAGCAATAGGGTTCAGCTCCACCAAGCAGCCTCGGTTTGGATACTTGCTAAGACTTTCAGATAGCATGCAAACTTCAGCAAGAGCCATCACAAAATGAGGCTGATGTTTAAACAGCAAAGCAAGAGCAGAGCATCTCTCAGGAAAGCCCTTTTCTGGGGCAAGGGGGCAACGTAACAGGAATCAGAAGGGCCAGGGTCCCTAAAAGTCAGCTTGACAAGATTCTGGACATAAAAATGGCGAGCACTACCATGAGCACACAGTTCAGACCGTTTGTCAAGGAGCAGACAGGCCTGGTCACCCCTGCTTTCACAGACCTGTGCCCTGTGACCTACAGCTGCTCTGAGTGACAACAGAGACAACTGCTTTTGTCACATCTAATTTCAGTGGCTGCACGCTACATGCAATTACCCCAAGGTGATACGAGCTGTTTCCATTTAGATTTGATGTGCCTTTCTATGCAATCTACACATAGAGTATATTGGAGCATTTCATCAATTGCATGAATTGAAGCTGTGAGATCTTAATTAGAAGCTCCATTAATGTCAAAGCAGTAAGTGTGGAAAGCACCAAGGAGAAGGAAAATCTGTCAGTGTGTGCATTTCACCTGTACTGCATCAACTAAGCATGAGATTATGGCCTCTCAACATCCTCACCAAAAATATCTGCAAGCTGGACAAGTTGCACAAAACTCAACTATTCATGAAGTTTATAGTTCCACTGAGGCATCTAAGGAACAGGAATTTTGCAGATCCTTAAGTTATTTCGTTTGTCTACATCAACATCACTGCTCCACTGGTGCAGAGTTGTTTTAGCAGTATTTCTTCAGTGGTGCTTTGGGATACTAAGAAACAACTTGAGGAAGGCCTCAAAAGACACAAGGTCCAGAAGTCCTCAGCTGGTAATAGTGCTGAGTTTAGTCCTGCTGACCTCAATAATGCAGCAGGGTGGCCTGAACCCTACCCCAGTCTGAGAGCATGCTCAGGATGTCAGCAAGTGGGGTGAGGCTAGCTTGGAGCTGACATCTAAGCTGCAGTTGATGGGGCGCAGCCCCAGTGACTTAAGTATGACAAACTCAGGCTGCCCTGTATGTACGCACTCAGAACTATCACTAGAAGAGGAGCTGCACTCCAACATGGACCTGGTAAGAGGTCAACGTGCCAGCAGCACAAGAATGAGCCTTTACCAACACATATGATAACCTGGTGTCAGGTCCTTTGCTTTTTCCCCAGTAATACAATCAAGCACTGCATTCTCTCTAGACCGTAGTGAAAGGCTGGAACATAACAAGACAAACTAGGACAAAACGATACAATTTTAAGCAAGACGTTTCAGCACAAAAAGATTTCTGTGTTTTGTTTTACCACACCCACCTTGAGAGAAAGCATCATTATCTTTCACAAAAGAGAAAACAAAGTGCAAAGGTTCTCTCCAAAGCCAGGATCACTGTCCCTCGCTCTGCCGTATTATTTCAGCACCTCAAGAACAGGATGGAGGCAGCAACAAGAACTTCCTATTAACTGCAGCAGGAACAGAACTATTTCCTCCTGTGGAGGGGAGCGTTACAAAAGTAAGGCTAAGGCAACACAGCCTCACTCTACACTCCCACCTGGAGAATTAGATAAGATGCAGTTAGCCATCATAACACACTATTTAAAATAAGCGAGCCCTAAGCTTCTCTTCTGAGACACTTCATAGCCATAGACTGCAGTGATTAGTTTAACAAGGCTCGTTACATCAAGCTATTGTAATAAAAGCTTATTTCCATTTAATTCACACTAACATCCACAAAACCAAAGCAAAATAAGGGAACAAAAGCCTAACTGTAGTTGAGTGGGTCTTGGATAGAGCCCAAAGCTGACAAGAAGCAAAGTTCCACACAAGAATAAAAGAAGCTTCAGCATTCTGTTAAGTGCTTTTTTAAGAGGAAAAAAAGTGTCCAGAAAGATGTACAAGAGAGGAAACCTAAGTTTGAAGAAAGCATTAATTGAAGCCAAGGTGTTTGGTCTGTTTTAAAGTTAACTAAGTTGATTTCTCTTAAGCTTTAATTGGATTGCTTTAACACATCATAAATATATTATAATGTTACACCTGTTTACCTTTTGTACACAGAGTTGCTTCTACATATTTATCTCCATCACAGCACAGAGAATATTCAAGTCTAGAATCCACTAATTTCAGGGGCAGTTATAACTGAAGCCCACATAATGCCTTATTCTTCCACTCTTTCATTCAAAGCGATTTTCTTTCTTTGATTTTAGAATAGAGGTCTTCAAAGTACAATAGCTTGTCACGGACCTTTCAATTCTCACACACTGAATTAGAGTCCTTGACAGTTAAATTTACTGCATAAAAGCAATCCTCAACTTTTGTATAAGCATCAAGGACAATTGCTGCTCTTTCGTTGTACTATCAAGAAATCGTTTGTGCTGAAAATGAGCACGATATTATTCCTCCCCTCCTACCTTCCCCCCCCCCCTTTGTATGACAAGTAACCCACATCTCTTCCGCTCTTTCTCCTTCACCTCCCTTTTCCCCCACTGGCAGCTCTTTGAAACTCCTAATGCAATGTTTCTCTAATATTTCACTTGTAAAACTCAAGGTCAGGCTGCAATCTTCAAACAAGAGACAGCTTTGCCCAAGGACTCTCAAGCACTTCCCACAGTCACTCCCTACACTACCAAAACTGGGTATTAGGCAATTAGATATTAGGCTACATAATCAAAAATGCAGTCTAGAAGAAAAACATATGCTTCATGTGTATTAAATTTGGGGTCTGCAATTTTCACCCTCTACACTCTAATGTTCAGCAGTAAGGAAATAGGGTAATAAGTAAGATCTCTTCTTCCCCATTTAAAAAGTCAATCAACCAATCTAAGGAACACGTTGAGCTTAGCATGCAAGAATGATATCGCCCTCAGCTGTGCCAAGAGTCACACAGAGCAAGTCACTTTAGCATCTTGGCAGAACATTCATTAAAAAGCAAAACAGCAAAAGGCCCATGCCTCCAATCACAGATTTCCCACAGACTATATGCTGTGGTAGCTCTCCAGATTACCTCTCTAAGGACCCAATCCAAAACTCATTACTGGCAATAGAGTTTTGAAAAAGCCATGTATGTTCTTTCACAATAGGAAGTTCTATATTTCGTTGATTGGAAAGAATCTTAAACTCCTTGAAATCTGAGTTTCGTGCTAGAAAAGAATACTTAGCTTGCCTTTGGCTTGGCAAGTGATACCTGTGGAAAAAAAGCAAAACGTGATCCAGAAATAATACAATTTACACAGTGCTTTGTCTGGTGCAAATATATCCAAGGATACCTTTACAATTAAAGATCTGGAGGCAGCAAAATTGCCAGTAGCTCCTCATTACCAACACAATTATTTTATTACACTTTATAAACAAATCTTTCAAAGACACAGAAGCATAAATAGCTGTCAAGAAATCAAAAGCTTTAATCACGATAATTTAATCTGAATTTATTTCCGCACTATGCTGGCAATCGCTTTCAAACAGCATCAATAGAACAATCTACTGCCAAATACAAAAACCATGTAAAATTAAAACCCTTTATTTTCACCCGCTTATTGCATTAGGATTTGATGGTCTTATTTACAGGAAAAGCTGTTCTGGCCCTTTAGAAAGGTGATCATATTTGAAGGTACTAGCATTTTGGCCACAGCATCACAGTAGTGCAGTAAGCTGTTATCTCATATGGTCCAAATAAAAGCTGGTTTGCTTGTTTAATTTTCAGCTGAGTCAAGCCACTGAACTAAGCTCACAGTTTAAGCAAACATGAATACCAGCACAAGTGAAGACATAGGAAAGAATGGCCAAGGAAAAATGTATGAGAAAAGCTTCAACAGTCCCAACTTACACAGATAAAATCAAAGATGGAATTTCATCATTAGACAACAAATAGATAACGTTAAACAAAGTTTTTTTTTCTATTTGACAGAAAATAACAGTTCCTAGCCTAAAGCAAATCTAAATTAAAAATAAAAAACAGTAAAACACATTAAAGCTGATGCCTCCTTTCAAGAAACTGTCTGATCTCAACAGCACAGCCTACAATCAGAATTATCGATTACGATGAGGATAGAATTCTGTGCTCCATCACTCTTGGAGATCTCTGCCAAGGGAACCATGTCTGTTAGGAAATGCTACCCTCTATCGTTTCACTACTCTCAACAGCTTATTTCTCCACAAAACCATATTTTTATAAGACTGACCTCACTTCTAGTATCGCTAGACATATCAAGAGCCAAAATCTCATAAACCTGAAGAACTGGTGCTTATGTACAGTCAGACATCATCTCATCATCTTAAATCCTGTCTATAGTACTTTACTGAACCCTGTGTTTTTTTCCCCTCCATTTCCTTTTCCTAAATAATTACTGCTTCAAAACATGGACTTTTTCCCCCTTTTTTTCTTTAGAGATCTGCCTGCTCAAATTCCTTTTTTTGACCACTTTGTAGAAGTACTATTTCAAAACCTTACTAGATCTACCATTCTGCTGTTCTCTCTACATTTTCATCACTTCCCAAATTATTTAAAACCTTTAGGACATCTCATATCAGAGCTTTTTCTTTAAATACCTTTACTAAAAATCTAAAGTAGCAGATATTTAAATATGATGATAGAGCAAAAAAGGTTATCTTTGAATTTAACTGCATTATGAAAAACTTCTTCAAAAGCACAAAAGATGCCCCTCTCCAATAAATTTTAAAAAAGTGCACAAATCATTGCGTTTCTGCCAACATCACAGCTTAAGAATAGCTGTAAAAGTACATTTTATGAGGATATAGACCATGCCAGTAGGATTTTAGATTTAAAATTCAAGAAAAAAGTTATTCTGCATTTAAAATGAGAAGCCCTACTTAACTAATGGGAAATACAAAGAAACAAGAAAAGGAAGAAAAATTGCCAAGAAAAGTACAACAAATAATTCAGTCTGGATGGCAAGTGGCACAGAAGAGCCAGTATAAAATCCAAGCTAAATACTTCTGCATATTTAATTCAGTTTATTTCTAAATAGAGCTAATTGGGGTTGATATCTCAATTTCTTCAAATAGGAACAGAAACTTGAAATCCCCTAGAACTCTTTTTTTTTGCCTTCAGACATCTGTTTCTAGTCCCTCTAGGTAGGAAAACAAATTGAGTGAACACAAGATCCAAACATTTAAGGAAGACTTGAACAAAATACACCATTGACGTGTGAACCTGAAAACATGCACACTAACTTGTGAACAAACAGTAAAATAGGTCTGCTTTACCCAGTATTTAAGGATGAAGGCCTTGTTGCATGTTACTGCTATCATTAGTTTCCATCAAGCCAGGACTGCAAGTAAGTACATTGTAAAGAAGGACCTTTTTTAAGTTATTATTATGAGTTCAAGCCTTAGTCAGAATGCAAGAGCCTGATGGCATGATATAATGCTATTATTTGTTTACTGACACCAAACATAAAATAAGAAATACAGGCTGTCAGAAATACAATGAACACACAGCTCACAATGTTCCATCCTCACCCTCCAGATGATTTCCAAGGCAGGGAGAGTAAACAGCCTTCTCCCAGCTTTCTTAGTTTCCACAGCTGAGAGTGTAGGATGTTTACAGTACCTGTCACTCAGAGCTCTTGAAAGCAGACCAAATGTCAGCAGACCTTGTACAGACTTCATTACTGACTGCAGGAAACGTACAGACTTAAGTGAAAGGAGGAAGAAACCATACAGCCATGACTCTTTCATACCATATGAATCCCAAACAAAATTCAGTCCTTTGTGCACATGTTGAGAGGCAAAAGATAAGTCCATCATAAAGCTGAGCTTCAGCATCTCCCAAGGACAGCCACTCTTATTGACACAACTGTAGTTCAAGGCTTCCTCCTGGTTCACTCCAGAGTGCTCCCGAATCTCCTGAAGTTGTCTCTGCAGAAGAGAGAATTCACCATTTTAATGAGTGCACATAAATACACACTAATTAAAAAAAAGTCAGGTAGAAAAGGCTTCATTTGTGTTCCACAAGTAAAAGCCAATGTAATTTTCCCAAAGCTTTTAATACTATTTAAGAGCAAATCCTACAGTGCTGGCTTCAAGGAACATGTACAGGATCTGTCACATTTTAAGTTATCAGTGGAATTATGGTTCTGAGGCATCTTTGGATACTGTGAGGAAAAGGATACATTTAAAGAGTAGGTTGATAAACTTAGGATTCTAGTTATACAACAACAGATGATTGTCACAGCAGTCTGATTGCGTTTGAAATGATAGACTTCTCTCCAAAACTTACCAAGTATTCACAGTTTCCTCAGATATATTACCTCTAAAGGACAGAAAACGGAAGAAAGAACAATAAAATACCAAGATAATCTAACCAGACACATGGACATAGCTAGAAGGTTTGCTCACGTACAACAGCCATAATCCTCAGGAGTAAAAATACCACTGAAAAAAATTTTGGTAGCTTTGAGATGAGATTATTGATAGCTTCTACTTTAAACAAAAATTGCGTGCAGAGGCATTTTTGCACAAGTAACTGAGGACCTGAATCACCTCCCAGAATCGCAGCAACCTGCGTTAAGAAGAGTTCATTTGCTATTGAAAAGGCAGAGCAGCTTTGTTTGTGTGTAACCCACAGGAGGCTGCCCCAGCACCAGTACTGTTCTCATTAAACCCTTTCTTTTATAGCCCAACATATTGGACGTGTATGAAGAAAGCTTAACTTTGGTCTCAACATCTGTTTTGTTCAGTTGGACCGAAGTTACTGTTGTACAGTAACAATTTCTCCTCTCCCACTAGCTGCACCTCATTGCAGCACTTCAGGAAATCAAGTCACGTAGCTACGAGCCCAGTTCTTGCAGTCACAGACCTTCCCCCCCATTGGTTTTGGTCACGAGAAAGAACTACAGCAGCAGGATAAAAGAAGAGAAGGACAACATAATTGCATGCCCTACTTTTTAATTCAAAGGGAGACCCGCAGATGCACAGGAACCTGAAAAGCTGAAATAAATTTGAAGGCACTGATCCTCTTTGGTCTGCTACAAAGTTACGGGAACTGCAAGGGCAAAGAAGGCTGAAGCTTTCTGACCAAGGAATTCGGCGAATTTTAAGAATTAAAAGGTCCCCTTCTCAAGCTGTCCATGACGAATAAATGTGTTCTCTGGTCGGCAGCTGAATAACCTACACAAGTTCTACACTCAGAAGATGCTGCTTTCCCTAAAAACTCCAGTCAACGTTTTATAGCGCTGAATGCGGCCTGCCCAAACATTTCTCACTCAAGATTTTCCAATTTAAGTAAGACATGTAAGAGGGACTCCAACCTTTGGTGAGAGAAGGTAAAAAAAATAATACTGCTTGGTTCCTGTTTGAAATTACTACAACGCTCTCATCCTTTGCAGACAGGCATCTGATATTTCTACTGTTAACAGATCCTACAGTGCAATTCTTATTTATATATTACTCAAGTGAGGAACTTCTACTAACTAGTGTCCTCTTTTCCCTGTACAATTCAAAATCTGGAGCTTAAAAATCAGACAACTTTGAAAATATTAACCTGTGTTACAACCAAAACAAAACATTTTTCAAACTTTAATGAACTGAAAATTCAAGGAAATGTAAAAGAAATCCCTCCCAGTCGCTTACTGTGTCCCTAAGGCCACCCAAACATATACAGCCCCTGTTGTCCATGTTTCACATTTGCTAAAGAATTCATATTGGATAAAAACTGCTTTGGCTTTTTTCCCCCCCCTGCAGCAATGAAGAATTTTAGTTTCAAAACATGCCTGTGTAGCTGTTAGCTTCATATCTAAGAAAATTTGTGACAGCCAGCTCAATAGCTGGGCACACAATGTCAGCACACAGTGAAAATTTATCAAGGCAGATGATACAGCGGCAATGAAATACTCAAATAGATGAAGGAAAAATAACCATGAAATTCAGAACAAGAAACATCAGAATAAAAACCAAGGAATGTATTATAGTCTCATGCTATTATGAAATTCCACAATGCTTTCTGAGGTTTAACTACATGTTCTTCTTGAACTTCTGCATTAGAATGAATGATACAAGTCGCTTAGGACTTCAGTCAGTTTTGCATATGCATTTCAGATACGCTGCCCACCAGATATGCTTAACTTCAAACAAGCAAAGGAAAGCTTTCAACAAGCACTGCATTTAAACTCAACACATTGCAATGCTACTCTGAAAGGCTTACGTTCAAAATAAGCAATAGGAGAACATGACAGCAATTAAATGCTTACAGTAAGCGCAGGCTCAGTATTTCTGCAGTTCCCCTATTGACTGCTTCTCACTTCCAAGTCATTTCAGGTATCTATGTTACTTTAATCACTACTAATGAAGTCTGAATAATGCTTCTAAAGTAAGAGAGCTGGGGAAGGGCAGCAAGTTGAGTACATAATATCCCTTGGCCAAAGGGGTAGAAGCCTACCACGAATGCATAGTTCCTCATCTGTGTCTAGATATTCAGATAGCAGCAAAGAAAACCAGTTTTCATTGCAATGTATGGCCCTCCATAGGTCTCTAAGAAGGCACAAAACTGGCAGTTTTGCCAGCAAGTCCTGCACAAAGCTGTGCTGGAATAGAATCATAGAATCACCAAGATTGGAAAAGACCTACAAGATCATCCAGTCCAACTGTTCACCTATCACCAATAGCTCCCACTAAACCATGTCCCTCAACACAACATCCAGCCTTTCCTTGAACACCCCCAGGGTCGGTGACTCCACCACCTCCCTGGGCAGTCCGTTCCAGTGCCTGACCACCCGTTCTGAAAAGTAATACTTCCTCATGTCCAGCCTGAATCTCCCCTGCCGTAGCTTGAAGCCATTCCCTCTGGTCCTGTCACTAATGACACGAGAGAAGAGGCTGACCCCCAGCTCACTACAACCTCCCTTCAGGAAGTTATAGAGAGCAATGAGGTCTCCCCTGAGCCTCCTCTTCTCCAGGCTGAACATTCCCAGCTCCTTGAGCAGTTATAGGAGCTAAGGGAAGGCACTACCACTACAGCCAGCCACTACATGGATGACTGTTGGCTCAGCAAAGCTATCACACTAAGAACCATCTGCTGCAACAGAGCCTTCTCTCTTTCCCCAGATCCTGAAGAGACAAGGAGTTTGGGCAACCCTTGGTATTCTAGGACTGTAAAAGGTAATACAGAGAGTTACAACTGAAGCAGCTACTAGAAAGTAGTGAAACAAAAAAAAAAAAAAAAAAAAAATCCCCAAAACAAAGGAGGAATGCAACTGCTATCATCTGGAAGTTATCCTGAGCTACACAGTACTGACTGCACTATGGAGAAACTATTGTCCACACACTTTGATTTCCTCAGTAAAGCACAGAAGGAAAGATCTGAAAAGCAAACCTATTCTGTTTCCTCTTTCATAAGTTAAACATTTAATTGCTTGCAATAACAATAATCTGGGGATCAACACACATGAATTACTCACTGTTCACTTCCCAGAATATCTGTTATAGTCAAGCACCATCACCTGATTATATCACCCAACAGCAGATGATGTGGGGAAACAAAAAACTACAATCCTCAGTTTGTTGACAGAGAAAGATTTTTTTTGTACAGTATAACGCTTTTACAACCTATCAAATGAGTTGACATCTGCTAGTTTCCATGAGCCTGTAATCACTGAAATGGGGAAGTCAATGAATACTTGGGGACACAACAGCATTAGCAAATCTACTAAGGCACTGTTCATATTGTAAGCTCTCTTGTAGCATATTTCACAAATGAAAACTCAAACTAGTGCCCGAAATTGTTCTCAAAATTCACCTGTAATGCACACGGAGAAAGCTTAATTGACTACATCATACAAAGAAGTGCATTTGGGGAGCAAAATTCTCGTGCTGTATTCCCATCCTGAACATGGAGAGCATACAAAGCAGCAGTCCCAAGGGAAAGCTTCAAGGTATTTAAGAATCCCCCCTCCTTTTGGTTCTGGTAACTCAAATTTGTTGCCTTATAAACAGACAGACACACACTTGGCATTTTTATTCAACGGCTTCAAGATCACCTCAACAAATTCTTGTTTTTTCCCTGTTCAAAGCATTCTCCATTACATTTTGGAACTGTACACCTAGATACCTGGAGACCTGAAGAGCTCAGTATTTCAACCCACTGAAATAAAAAAAAGACTGTAAATATGCAATTGCCCCATCTCTGAATAAAAGTTTCAAATACAACTTTAAGATACAAACTGCCAGCAGATGTCAGTACAACCCAGAGAACTGCTCAACACCAGTTTAGATATTTACTCAAAACCCCAACTGTTAGGGTACATGCTTTTGCCCAAGAAAGTTCAACAAAACAACAAATCTCACTTCAACACAGAGAAACAGCCCCTGGGGCTTGCCATATAGGCCTACCTGCATGTTCTCAAGACAGACAAAAACTGAAATAGAAAGCTGTCAGGACTGTTGCAAGACATCAAGAAGCAGCTCTACATTCAGCACCCTCTAACTGAGGTTCCATCCCCTCCTCCCTCACTCTCCTCGCACCATGGTCACAGCACGCATCTCCACCCCCCACCTTTCCAATTCAGTCTGTTCCCAAATAGCTTGTCTTCTGAGATGCTGCTGCTAGGGGTTGGTGAATATTTAGCAACAAGGTTGCTAAGCTAAATAAAGCTGTTCTGTGAAACAAGCATTATCAGGAGTGTCCTTGAGCTACAGCAGAAGCTCCCTCTGCCTTCTCCTGTTGTGTAATTTTTTGACAAGAGTTGTAAGGAAAGTGCTCCTAAATGCATCTGGTTGAGATGGCTTTAGTCAGAAATTTCCAATAGCACAGTTTATCTCATTTCTTCATGCAAATAAGTACCAAAGTTTAAATTTCTTGCTGATTTCAGCAAGATAGACATGTCAGAGAAACATTTTTAGCTGCGCTATGTCCAAACACGATT